GCCAACATGTCACTGCCGACAAGTCACTGAGTTTGGTGCCTCTGTGCCTCGAACAGGCTGGTTTGCCCGTGCAGGCAGGGCACGAAGCGACGTGGATCATCCGATCCCTTTGTTACCGACAGCTTTGCAGCTTGTCCACCTAGAGATTCATCGGCAACATACCAACATGATCCAAAATGCAGATGTGGTGATGTCCCACGCTGTCGTACCAGGCTGCAACGGTGTCTTTCAGCGAGCACTGGAGAGAGGACGTGGATAGCTACCTCTCAGGAAAGCAGGAAGACTATGTGATCTATGATAGGCAGATGGGGCACCTGACATGGGCATAAAATGAACTGCCTTGTAAATCCGAATAATCCGATTTCCAGCAAAGTCGTAAGATCTTGTAAGTCCAGTTTCTTTCCTCCCAACAGACCTGAAAAATGTCTCCACAGCCCTGGCTCAGGGACGGCCACGATGTCGCTTTGGTTGAAGAGACCGTGTCTCGTGATCGCTTTCCCTTGCAGATCCGACGGCAGGCCGAGCCAGGGACATGAAAGAAATGGGCTACTGAGCGGCTACTGAGCGGCTACTGAGTCTATCATTCATTTGGCCTGCTACTGTGATCTACTGTGATTGATGAGTGACGTCGGCCCTTGAGTCAAACGCTGAGATGTATGCGACAGGTGTAGTGCAAGTTAGGAAGGAGCATGCCTCTTTCTTGCAGGACACTATGCTATCCAGTTCCGCTTTTTTCTCCAGTTCGGCTTTTGCTTCAGCAGTGGGCACTAGATCCATGGAGGGCTCCAAGCAGGCAGAGTTGAGTATTTGGTGAAAGCTCCTGGATTTTGTTTCAAGGGAAAACCAACCAAAATCCATCAAAATCCACTTTTTTTTTGGCCAACTTTCAACTTTCCTAAGTTTTTTTGCATTTTTTTGGGGAAGGAAATCCTCTCGAGCGGATTCACTCAGCTGTCCATGGCTTTTGTGTACACCTTTGCTGTAGGGATCGCAGATGGCAATGTCGATGTGTTCGGCCTGGTGCCTCAGTGCAGTGGCAGCCCTTGTAGATTTGTAGATACATGTAGATACATGCAGATACGTGTAGATACAACCGACATACTGAGACATACTGAGACATACTGAGACATGAGCAGCGGAAGCTGTTTGTGCGGAATTTTGGACATGATCTCCAGTTGGCAAGGCTGTCACAGCTCTGGAGTTCCCAGTGCAGGCCAGCCTGAGCATGCTGGGCTTGTGGTTGTTTGACGTTGAGCCCGTTTGAGGTGGCTGATTTATTCACCCAAAGCTGAATTTCGCCGATTTTGTGTTTTAGCCAGAGCCCCTTAGAGAGGTCCCTGATTGTCAAGGCTTTGTGCACCACATGGGCTGATCCAGCTTCGATGAACATGTTCTTCCCCTGTCAGTGGAGAGGTAGTTGCTCGGGTCGCCTCCACTGGGGTCTTGGTGCCGACGTGCCCGGAGACCCAAATTGGAGAATTTGGAGATTGACCGATTGACCAGTTGCAGATTCGGAAAGCCACAGAAGAACCGCAGAGCCATGCAGAATCATGCAGAGCCCATGCTCACTTTGACCAATTTCCCGAAAGCTAAGGTTTGTGCTTTCTTTGGCAGACGTGAGGCGTCAGGGGAGTGACCCTATAAGTGTTCAAGCTATCTTGCGCCTTAATTTCTGGCTCGAAGAGAACAGCTTCAGCGTCAATTGATCAGATTTTGGGCTGATGATATGGGACTTGATCTTTGAAACCGATGCTTCCGCTGGGAGGCACCTCTTCTCCGCTGAGCGTGGCCACGTTTTGCTTCTTTGCCTGTGATGTTTTTTGGCTTATTTTGCAGAGTTTTTTTTTTAAAGCCAGTCTTTTTCGAACGCTGGGTATTGCATCATTGTAGAAATTTAAACGCACAACTGTCAGCATCTACCAACGCTTTCCAGGAACAAACTGCTGTTTCATGCGCCTTTGAAACCCAGCTTGAAATCAGTAGTTCGATAGTTCAACGTCCCAAAGACGGGCTGAAAATTGGCCTCGAACCTTTGTAAGACGATGTGAGACGCTTGGACAGGTCTTGGAAATTCAACAGCTGAAAACCAGTGCCTCTCTGTGCTTGTCTTTTGGACGATTCCGCCAAGCTTAATGATCTGAATGTAGGCCTTACAGCTTTGACTGATGAACACATGATCCAGGTCCTGTATGATATGTAGCGGAAGTGTTTCATGGTTCCATCTGACATGCTCCGCATAATTTCGGGCGATAAGACTTGCGCGACATATCATCACTCCAGTGGCGACCTTTCAAGTTTGCAGATGTGATGCGCACAGCCATCGGGCTCAGGAGGAAGGGCCCTCTCCAAGCTGTGTGCCGCATCTTTTGGGAATGCATACAGTTCGACAACAAGCTGCTTTTGCAAAGCAGCATGGACTTTTCAAAGCTGCGTCGGCTTTGAACGTGACATCAAATCTGTTCCACTTGATGTTGGATCTGACACAGAAGCCCAGTTCTACCAGTGGTTCGCTGTACGATTCTTTGCCTAATGTTTCCAGAGTTGATTTCTTCATCAGCCATTCCTGGTCCTGTCCTTCTTGGATAAAGACCTTGGCATTTTGTCACTTTTTGAATCTTGATTTGGCGATTGCTTCCTCCTTCCTTGCATGTTTAGTAGCGATCTTCGTGTTGGTTCTGCACACGGGAAGCTTGAGTGGTGTAGCACAGCTGCAGCAAGGGACGCTTTACGCTTCTTTGCTTTGCTGGCCCATGGCCGTGTTCCTTGTGGCATATCTCTGTGGCCATGCAGCTGTCGGTCGTACCTCCTTTTGGTTTGACCGAATATGTGTTGATCAAAGCAACAGCTCTGTGAAAGCTCAGACACTTCAAGCCATTCCTGCTTTCGTAGCTGAGTCGACTCAAATGTTGGTTTTATGGGATGATAGCTACTTTGAAAGGCTTTGGTGTAACTACGAGCTCAGTGTGCATGCAAAAACAGCAGAGTCTCCTCGTGCTATGCAGCTTGTGCCCATGTGGATTTCTTTGTGGACATTGTCTTGGATTAGCCTCTATACCATCCTCAACTTTCTATGCATTGGACAAAAGGCTCCCCCACTGGACTTGGACTCCAGAAGATCACTCTTCTCTTCCATGGTTGGTTCAAACTTTGTCCCGTCGTATGTCTATCTTCTGACAGCCTTCCCATTCTCGTGGTTTTGCATTCAAAAACTCAAGAGCCACAAGTTGATGCTGGATCAGATGGCAAATTTTGATCTCAGAAATGCCAAGTGCAGTGTAGAGAGCGACCGGAAAGTCATTGAAGAACAAGTCCTGCAGCTCTTCGACGAAGCTTTGGAGCCTCCGATGCGCATTGCATTTATCGCAGGAGAGGCCCCGATGGCGCAGTTGGATCGGTTGGATGGTGAAGTCAATGAAGATGCCCCCTTGGTTTCGCATGTTTCGCGTGAGACCATTGAGGAGATTCGCCATATTACGAGTTACCCCACGAAGGATGAAGTCATCAATCAGTTCAATACATACGTGCGAGGTCCCTTGAGGGATAGCGTCATGAATTCGATGGGGAAAGAGGACTACATTTCCTTCAAATTGTGCATCCTTGTGAGCCTTCCATGGTGGTTTCAGGGGCTTATACTTGTTTTAGGCTGTGATGGACGTCATTGTGATAGATCAGCTGCATACGGTGGTTACCGCTCAGTGCCGGAATATATGGTGACGAATGCAGCGATGAAACTCCTTTTAGCACCTCTTGTGAATGCTTTGTCCTATCCAGTGATGCTGAAAACCAACCACTTGGTATCACAGATGGCAGAGGGCATGGTATCACAGATGCTTCTTGGATCTGCTTGCAGTGCAGTGGCCGTGTTTCTCTTGGACCACATTGGCCTGTACCTGTGTGGCATACTGATGGTGGTGGTAAATAAATATTCACATGTGTGGCTCGCCGAATTCGTGGCAGGTCTCACTCTGCTGTTTTGGGCAACTTGGTTCCTGTTCAGAAAGAGTTTGCCGCAGAGTCAGCGCTCCCTGTCGCATCACACATGACTCACAGGACTCCACAGGCACAGGGCACAAACTGTGCGACTGTTCTTCGTACCGCCGAAGTACAAAATGCTACAAAATGCTATGCTGTTACGTCAGATGCCGGCGATGCAGGCGGTGCAGGGCTGAGGTATGGTGAAAGAAGGAAAGATGGTGAAAGCAAGACCTGTTGAAATGCACCATGGTTAAGAAAAACAGCTTTTCTTCTCCGGTTTGGTTTGACATAGCTGCGCAATCTCTGTTGCAAATGGCTTCGAATCGAAAGATCTGCGGTCCACTTCCAGAAGATCTTCAGGACTGATGATGAATGAAAACACAGAGAGCTATCAAGCTCACTGATGATGGTTGGACGCACGACATGGTCAATTTGCAGAGTGCGAGCTTCAGAAAAACATAAATGAGCAGTCCTGGGGTCATTTGCGTTGGTCCGGTCTACTGACATCCTTTTGCTGTGCCAACTGCCGTTTTCAGAATTTGTTGCTGTAGAAACATCTGTTTTTTTTTTCTGTTCTTTTCAACGACATTCAAATCGTCAAATCTTGAAGCTGCAGCAGCTGCAGATGCAAACAATTCTCTGACGCAGCCCTTTACCATCCCGGAACGTCACTGTGAACGCCAATGGCTGCCTTTGCACGCCGCTTCGGACCCTTCGGACCCTTCGGACCCTTCGGACCCCGTGGAGAACTCAGTTTTTGTCGCTTCAACGAAATTCACGAATCCTGGAATGATAATATATGGGATGAGTTTTTTAAATGATAATGATATGGGATGATAATGATGATAATTGTGGGATTTATAATGCTGCTAATGGGGATGAATTATAAATCCCACAATCTTCCCATGATCAAGCTTCCTATTTTTGGAGCCGAATGCTGTGGAACAGACCGATCGAGCTTCTGGAAAACACTTGTCGCCGCATTGGCTCGATTCAGTTGCTCTCCACAGTGGATCCTTTTCGCCATGGCAAAACTCGCGGTGCTGATTGGCCACCTCTGCTTCTGGTGCCTTGACTCCCTTGACAAGGTGACAGATGACCGTCAACTGGTGACACGTGGATCAATGACTCAACTAGATTTGCACAGCACTGATGGGTACAGACTGATGCCAAAACTTACCAAGTTTTGAGACACTTTGAGACGCTTTGAGACGCTTTGAGACACTTTGAGACACTTTGAGACACTTTGAGACACTTTGAGACATCAAATTCAAGAATTGGTTTAAAATGAGGCAGAACGAAGGCAGAATTGGTCAAGAATTGGTCTCGTCCATGGCATCTCTAAGGCTGGGCAGATCGAACCCCAGCGTTTGTGGCAGCAAACCCGATGAGGTTGGTCCCCTCGGGCCATGGGGAGATGAGGTCAGTGATGGGGTCATCGGGTCATCAATGGTCATCATATTGTGGATGTTTAATGATGTTTAGATGTATTTTTTATCATATGTTTAGACGATTTCGTTTACAAATCATAAAAATACATCTCTGTCATTGTGAAAAGCAGCTTAAAGGCATTCTTCCAGACTGAGTGTTCCTGTTGTCATCTCTTGCCACCATGCTGGTGACTTTCTCGACGCGACATGCCCATACAAATGATGTATAGTCCTAGAGTTACAGTGAGAAATACAGAATTTCAGTGTTTTGCAATATGTTCTTCAGCTTTTCAGATCTTTTCAGATCTTTTCAGATCTTTTCAGATCTTTTCAGATCTTTTCAGATCTTTTCAGATGTTCTTGGCAGACGGTTTCGCTGCGAGGTCTCTGGTTGTCAGATGAAGGACATGGGCTCCTGCGGCAATGCTTGCTGTGCCACACGGTTAAAGATGTTAAAGATTGCAGGCAACATTGGGGGTAGCCAGGGCCTTTCCGTGTTGCAAGGTGATATATATATATATATGCCATGAGGATCATGAGGTCTAGGCAGATTAGGTAGTATTTTCCGGATGTCTTTGACAGAAAAAAAGGATTGAACGAGCTCTGGAATTGGAGATGCAAAGAAGTGCTGCACTACCTTCCTTGCTTCCATACTTGTGCTTCTTGAAGCTGGGAATGTGCACAAAAGGACGAACAAACATGTTGTGCTTTTTGATGTCTTAGCTTCTCATTCAGACAAAGCCAGGCAATTCGAGTGCAGCGCTCAATCCTAAGGTGGTGGAGGTTGGGTTGAAGACAACACCAGAGCAGACATATGAGCTGACAAAGAAAACTCTGCAAGACCTGAGCGAGGACTCGCGACTGACTCGCGACTATCAAGATGCCGTGTGGTTGGGTTGTTGTTGCTACATGTTGACACCATGAGTGGTTGGTAGACTCGCACTTCTTCATCCAATGGTGTTGAATGCTGCAATATACAGACATTGTACTGCAAAAATGTTAACACTACTTCATCAAAGGCCTTTGAGTCAACTTTCCAGATTCCTGTACACTATAGAGATATATAGAGATCTTTTCAGATGATTTGACTGGCACATTTGCAGCCCAGTTTTGCGTCCAGGATGGCTTCACGTACGTCACCGGAGGAGAACCAAATCCTGGAGACGACCTTCGGCCGTACAACATCTCCAGCCCAGAGATGTTCAAATTCATCCTCCAGGCCGGGCAGGCAGAATTTTGGAATTTCACATTTTCCAATGTTGGTCTCCTTGATTTTTGTTGCTGGCCACAGTCTTAGACGTGACTCCAGCCTGTCCGAGATTGTCAGGGTCGCCACGATGCTCCCAAGTACTATGGCACCAACGGCGACATCCTAAACTTCGCCATCTACCAGAGGAGTGGTGCTTCGAGCGGCTCGGTGCTGAGGATGTTTTCTCTGAGCCGCATCCATGGTGCCCTGGGCGACAATGGACAGAACTACAAATCGCTATCCTTTTTGGCGGAGAAGATGCAGATTCAAAGCTCCTCAGCGATGTAAATGTGGAAAAGACATGGACATAACATTTACAAATACATATACATAACATGCATATAAATGTATGTATATAAATGCATATAAATGTATATAAACGTATGTAAACGTAGATAAACGTAGATAAACGTAGATAAACGTAGATAAACGTAGATAAATGTACATGCGAGTGTACTTTGAGGTTGTACAGTGTGGATGTTTGCTTTGCCCTTTGCCCAAATTTCGTGACCGCGGTCTGATCTCTGTGAGGTCAACTGGCGGTGAAGCACGGCTGTGGAGCTCCACTGTCATCACCGCCAAAGGAACTCAACGAAGACTCGTCGGCGTCCTTCCCAAGCTACTGTGGAGGTGATGCATCCAAGGACGGATAGCGTGGGATTGTGGGAATTTGTGCGATTCGGGCTTTTCGGGCTTGGGATCGGACGCAGTGGCATTTCTTCAAAGCCTATAGAGTTGTCACCGGACCGGTTGTGAGCTTGAAGCCACCGCAACTTTCACGCGAGCCGCAACAGGATCCAGACTGCGCCAGAAAGGACTTTGGCTCCTGCGGCAACGCCTGCTGTTTGGTGGAGCTGCAGCTGAATCAGAGCCCTGAAAAGGCGCTGAGATTCTGTGTGTGCTGCGTGTGCTGCGTGTGCTGCATGTGCTGCATGTGCTGATGATGTGCTGTTTGCTGTTTTGCTATGGCGTTTGATGGACATGTCAATGAAGTGACATCGAATTCTAGGAAAACAATGATCATGTAAAATAACATACTATATATATATGGGTTTACTCATGGAACATGATAAAGCTTTATTTGTACGCATGTTTGATGAGTGAAATGAATTGTCATGAACGTGCTGACCACTGCATTTTATCGTTCTCCGTATCTTGAGCTTCAAGTGAAGCACGTTCAGAGCAAGTGCTCTGACAGTCATGTGTCAATGAACATGTTTCAAGACATGGCAATTAACACATGACATGTTATCAACATTAACTTAGTATTATCAAATTGTTTTGGAGTACATCACTCATCAACAAAACAATTTCAGAATTTTTCGTCGTCTCGACTTCTTCCCTCGTCGAGCCATTTATGCGCGATCGATCAGCCGCTGCCAGAGGGAAAGCCGCGCTGACACCCTCATCGACATCCAGCTCCTCCCTTCGGTTCTTCATTTGGTTGGGCATTGGACACCTCACTGGCTTTGTCACGACGTGCCTCTTTTTCCTTTGGATCATCCAGGGTCATGACTGAACCCGACCGGGAACCACTCCCTCCTGATGAAGACGACGTGCACCCTCCTCACCCATTGCGGTTTACAGTGGTTTTCAGCCTTGACACCACCCTGGATGACCGCGAAGCCCGTGTTGAAGATGTGTTCGAACATCTTGGGTTGCGCAAAAGAGGCCTCGTGGATGTCCTGTATACAGTCAAGGTGCCTATGTCCCACCTGATGACACCACCGGTCGCCCACCTCCATCGGTCGTGGGTCGACTTTGGGGATGAGCTGGATCCCGAGGGGAGATACTTCTTCGTGCTGTTCTCGCGACGGCTTTTCGACCTTGTGAAGGCCAACACCGAGGGCAGCGATATGACCATATCCTTGCTCCAGGATGGGACCAATCCGGAGCTTACCAGGATGGTGCCTCTAACAATAGAGCTCCACCCACCAGCGGATATGGTGGACATTTTTGGCCGCCTTTTTGACCAAGTTCAAAGACAAGAAGAGCGGCTTCAAATGTTGACCTCGGAGAATGCGCGGCTGCGCAATCGCATTGGACTCATCACCGAGTACCTGGCCAGCAGGGACATCAATGCGGCGCGCACCTTTGGCCTTCTCCTACAAGATGCCTGAGCACTTCGCGCTGGACTTTCAAGATCTACTGCTTCGAGATTCAGCAGTTCATCATCACTTTTTTTGATGGTCAAATCTGACTACGACACATCGAGTGCTTAAAATTGCTCATCCTGGGGTTGTTGCGCAGCAATTTGGACACACATGATCACGTTTTTTTTGAAACGCATGTTTATCCCCTTTGGACAACATAGGTTCTGCAGTTTGTGAGGTAACATCACTAGGGACCATGTGAGTGTGCACATCATTCTTGTTTGCAGAGGAATACTGATGTTTCGATGGAGTCTGGCTCGAGTGAGCCCAGCCGCCGCCATTTTGGGGGGGGCGTTATGGGTCGAGTGACCCGACTCCAGCTGGGTCCCTAGTCCTGTAACCTCCAGTTTTGTATCAAGGACAAGTGTCCTGTTGTTCAATTTCTTTTAGTGCGTAAACCGATGTGTGTTTACCGAAGCTCTGACCAGGTGCATGTGCACCTGACAGAAGCGAGGCACTTGGTCCGTGATTTCGAGTGAAATGTGACCCATGCCTGTCAAGTGACGGATGCCTGTCAAGTGACGGGGTAAGTCCAACTGTGTTGTTCAGGCTGGAACTTTGCGTGGCCGAGCTGCAGACCAGCAGGGCCCTTAGCTCAAGTGAGCTGTCAAGTGTTCGCCCAGAGTTGATGGGCCGTCAGATTTCCCCGAGTGGGGAGAGACCTGTGCAGATGAGAGAACACCGGACAGTTAGCCTCAGGTTGGGCCTGTCCTGAACTCCATCTTTGCTGTGCCTGATCTCAGTCATAAAACTTTGCTGATGGCATTCGATTGCAATCACCCTCGTTTCTTGCGTTTAGCTTGCCATTAGGTCGGCCATGATCATCACATTGGTTTCCTGTTTTCATCCCAGGCTCTTGACGCTCCTGAGTGGCGCACATCAGGGCCTGAGCCGTATGTCCAGGTTTAAACGGGCACGGATAAATGACCAAGGTGAGGACTCTGTCGATTCCGATGCTGTCATGTTACCTTTGCCAGCGGGTTTAGATTCCTTGGACCCAGGTCCATTGGGGGAAACAGGGTCCGTACATGACTCGCCCTGTAGCCCGTCCGTAGGAGAGACTCCTGATGCATTCGAAGCATTCGACCCAGTCCCTCAGGCATCCGTTCAGACAGCATCCGGCAAAGTAGGTTTATTAGATCCAAGTGACATGAATAACCTCCGCTCGATGATCGAAGACAGCTGCCTGAAGACCCAACCGGCCTTCAAATTTGTGATGCCCTGGGACAGGCCTGGGTTTGCTGGAATATTCGCCAGAAAGAAAGCTGACCTCATACCCAAGCCAGTAATGCAGTTGCTTGAGCCTACTGTTAGTTCTGCATCCGACCAGCCCAGTGTCATGCTGCCGAGTGCGAGTGTCAAAAGAGGATGTTATGGTGATGCGATCAACTTCAACCTTGACTTGTCTCAAGCAGAGGTTGAGGAGAAAGCCAACAGGCAAGCTCTAGAAAAGTGGTATGTAGTTTTTGCAACGGGCCCTGAGGCCTGGCCGAGAGGCTTCGACTTGCATGAAGCCGTTAGAGACAAGAAACTTGAAGACATGAAACTCGTGTTTGGAAACCGCAGCATCAACACCATCCTCAGAAGGGGTCAATCCATGATCCAATTTGTGACGTGGTATAAATCAAAGTTTTTCAACTTGTGCCCTTTTCCGCTCACTCCTGAAGCAGTAGAAGAGTATGTACAGTCCCTCCACGAAGCAAATCGAGCTGCCTCCGTGTTTCATGGGTTTGTCGAGGCTCTGAGTTTCTGCGAACATGTTTTAGGAATTCAGGTGAGCTTTGAAGGTCAGCCTCTGATCACTCACAAGGTGCAGCGAATCTTGGAGATCAAAGACTTCGAACGAAAGGAGAAGACCCAAGCGCGACTCCTCACTGTTTCCGAAGTGGAATTTTTGGAAGTCAGCATGGTCAATGAGAAGCTAGAGTTGGTTGACCGTGTCGCTTGTGGATGCATACTTTTCTGCCTGTATAGCCGTAGTAGATGGTCCGATTTGAAAAGAGTCTACGGGTTCGTTCAGGACGTCGTGGAGAAAGATGGCCGGATCTCTGGCTACATTGAGTGCCGAACACGATCACACAAAACTGCCAGGTTGGTTTCCAGAAGCGGGGCTGCCATGCCCTTGGTAGCGCCTGTGTGGGGAGTGACGTCTCCACCATGGGGCCTGGCACTTGCAAGGCTGCTCAAAGCCTCTGATAGGCCCTTTGAAACAATCGATCAGCAGCCAATGCTCATGGCCCCTAAGCCCGATGGAACCTGGTCGAACAGAGCGGTCACCACCACTGAGGCGGGCAAGTGGCTGCGCAAGCTGCTTGCTCAAATGAACCCTGATGCTGAGCATGCCACCGCACATTCACTCAAGAGCACACCTTTGTCATGGTGCGCCAAATGGGGACTTGACCCTGAGGTGCGTCTCATTTTGGGACATCACAAAACGGGCAAGTCCTCGGCAGAGTGCTATGGAAGGGATAACCTGGCAAAGCCACTTAGAGACTTCGATCTTGTGTTGCAGCAGATCCGCACCAAAGCCTTCGTCCCAGACTCCACGCGATCCGGCATGATTCAACAACCGGAACAGGAAGATCCCTTAGAAGCTGTCCGAGCGTCGCCAGAAGCCATAGAAGCCATCCAAGATGAATCGTCGTCCGACGACACGTCCGATGACACAGACAGCAGCGACTCTGACCAAGCAGATGCCGCCGATGCAGTCGTAGCACCCAGGTCATGGGACCCCGACACAGTCATGTTCCGGAACAAGAAAAGCAAAATAGTGCATGTGGTCGCTGTAGGTGGCGCACCAACCTTCAGCTGCGGAATCAAAATAACTGAAGACTTTGAAAAGATATCCGAATCCCAGTTCTTGGATCTTAGAAAGTGCAGGCGCTGCGCCCATGCCAGACCACTCAAAACTGCCGGCCAAGTGGCAGCCGCACTCGACAAGTTGAGCAAGAGATAAAAAGAAGTGCGACCGTTTGAATGCATGTGGAGAGCCCAGATGAGTGGCTTCTGTAAAACAACCTCCGAGCACAGTGCATAAGAGTGTAACATGTACACAGTCAAAATCATGCACATGTGTAACTCATAATCCCCGAGTGGGGACATTCTCAAGTGAGATATTGCGTCGAGAGTTGTGAGTGGAAACGGGTTATGTGTGTGGAGTCACACATTCTGAGGGCAGAGTGCTTCTCAGGACATGCCTGTATGTTGTTTCCACCGCAGCTTTTGCAGTTTCATGAACAAGCAGTCACCCATCAAAAGAGCATGATGGATGCACTTGTTTCAATGATAGACTATACCGAGTCACTTTATAGTTGCTGAGTTTTGTGAATTTTTATTTTTCATATCATCAGCATGCACATATACAAACTGAGAGCTACTCGACTTCGCTCCTTCCTGCACCATGGGTACCCTCCTGGAGTCGAAAGAAGCCCTGAAGTCCAGGGGCTTGGAAGTGAACCTCACTGCTGAGGAAATTGACGCTCTCATAGACAATCGAGTAGACTCCCTTGCCAGACTTGCTTTTGCATGCTGCCCTCCTGGCGAAGCACCTACAAACGAGCAGATAGATGCATTGTTTGCAGGGCGAACCGCGCCCAATCAAGGAACGTATTCATCAATCAAAAGGCTGATCTTCGAGGCGCAGACCCTACTTTCTGCTGAACTGCAAAACAAGGTCCACAAAACCGAAGATCAGGCAAAGTCCAAGATGGCGCCGGCCGAGAGAGACAACAGAATTAAGGATCAACGCACTAGGCTAGAGGGCCTACGTCTCAAAGGTGAAGAAGAGTGCAGCCACTCTTCCTACGACCTGGTCCTGAACATGCTGGAGAAGGATTGCCTGATATATTTAGGCCCTGAGAAGTTTCCAACCAGAAGGCAGGAGTTGATGCAGAAAAAGCCGGGCCGTGAGATCTCAATAGACCAATCCGCCCTTGTTGTCAAGGATCGGCAACAAGAACTCCTCTGCAACACGACCACTGAGCTTGAGACAGTGAACGCCTTGAGGCGAAGAGCGCTGGCATTCGACCTGGTCAAATGCTGTGGCTTCCATGCCATGAATACTTACCACTCTGAGCTCTTTGAACATATACATCAAGCTCCACCGCCTGGATACTCAGCAGTCAGCCTGGCACAGATCCTCCGTGCAGATCGTGCGGCCTGGATCATGATAGCAGAAAAGATCACAAGCCTGAAGCGAGACCCACAGGGGGCCTTGCCATTGGAAGTGGAAATCCAAAAGGCTCTGACGCACCCTACAGTGTCGTTTCATTTGCTGCCTCTTCCTACGAGGACCTCCAACAACCCGAAGCCGCAGAAGCCAGAGCCGAAAAGGGAACGGTCAAGAACACCTCCCAGGGCGTCTCCCACCAAGCCTGCGGCAAGCCCTGGAAAAGGCCTAGGCAAAGGAAAGGGACGCAAGGGATCCAACAAGAAAGGAAGGGGACCGAACGTCCCAAAAGGACTCATCAACAAGTCGCTCCAGACAGATGCAGGTGAGAGGCTGTGCTGGGCCTTCAATTTAGAAAGAGGTTGCACCGATGCCCCAGCAGGAGGCAAATGCTCAAGAGGCCTCCACCTATGCACGGAGCCGGGGTGCCAAAAACCCCACAGCATGCAGAACCACAAGTGACAAACACCAGCGGGTGTCTCAATTTTGCAGAATTCCGAAGCACCTTTTCGAAGCAAAAGCGATGCCAAAATTCAGGGACGCCCGCTCAGTGAGTTCTATTGTATAGAAGTTTATGCTGGCACTGGTCGCCTCACAGCCGCCTTGCGTGCCATGGGATTGAAAAACAGCTTTGGAGTTGATTGCAAATTACCCTCTCAGTTGCGCAGTCCCATAATTAAATATGATTTGCTGAATCCCAACCATGTGAAGCTTGTACAGGATCTCATTGCTTCACCACAGTGTTTGTATGTCCACTTCGCGCCACCTTGCGGCACCAGCTCCAGAGCACGCCTGATACAGAGACGCGGTCGATGGAATCCTCCAATCATCCGCAAAGACACTCACCCTGATGGCATCCCAGGCCTCAGCGGTACTTTGAAGGCACGTGTCGATGCCGCCAATAACCTGTACCATGTAACTTGTGAATTAGTCAGATGGTGCATTCAGCACGGCACTTACTTCTCAGTCGAAAACCCAGGTCGATCCTTTATGTGGCAAACCACACATTTTGTAGCCCTTATGCAAGAAGCCCCTGACTTGCAGGAAGTCTCATTTCATCACTGCAGATATGGAAGTTCCAGACGTAAGCTCACTAAGCTCTTGCATAACATCCCAAAATTTGCCACTTTAGAAGCCTTTTGTTTAGGAGACCATGACCATGAGCCTTGGGGCCAAAACCCTGACGGTGGATGGAGAACTGCGGAGGAAACTGCTTATCCATGGGACTTGTGCCGAGCCCTAGCAGCAAAGTTGATAACGCAGCTCAGCGACGACGGTGTGGCCTGCACTCCACCTGTTTTCGCCCTCCAAGAAGCCAACCTCCAGACTATGCGGGCCACCACTGATATACAACCCCGCAAAAATCTCCCACCGATGGTGTCAGAGTTTGTTCAAATAAGACCCCATCCGGCCAACCAGCCTCTGCCAGCACAAGCACGCAAGCTGAGCACTCCCATTTCGGGGGGGACAAGCGCGAGTGCAGCAGACCAGCAATCCATAACAATTGGAATCCACAGAAATCCAGAAGAATTTGTTAGGGATGCTGCAGTTGTTGGACACCCCACTAGGATCCACTCAATGTTCCCCGACGAAATAACTGGAGTAGTCCATAAGTACATAAGTCTGGGACCCTCCAACATAGCCTTACATAGGACTGAAGAGATAAAGAGATGGATAAGTCTGTCTGAAGATCTCAGGCAAGCCGAAGCTGAGTTCAGGTCAAACATGTCTCCAAGGCGACAAAAGATTCTTGAAGGCAAGAAACTGGTACTTTTCAAGACTTTGCTTCTGGAGTCCGAACACAGTGACCTTAACTTGGTAAATGACTTAGCCACTGGCTTTGACCTCACTGGAGCGCTGCCTGAATCACAAGCGTTCTCCAAGCGGGTCAAACCTGCAGCCATGTCTTGTGAAGAACTGAGGTCTGTTGCAAACCTTTGCAGACAAGGCATGTTGGAAATGACGCAATCGTCGGGCGACAGTGAACTCGATGAGCAGCTGTATGCGGCCACCCAGAAAGAAGTCAAGAAAGGCTTCCTGGAAGGGCCACTGGACCCAAGAGCCCTTCCCGCCGGGGCCACCTTGACCCGAAGGTTCGGGATCAAACAAAAATCCAAGACCCGTCCCATCGATGACTACAAGGCATCGTTTGTCAACAGCAGCGTCTCCCAGACCGAGACTGCCTCGGTGCACACTGTTGACCATATAGCTGCAATGATTGCCTGCATCATGCGCACCTCAGAGGCCAATGGACGTAGCTTGGATCTGACAGCTAAAGCCTGGGACCTAGCTGATGCTTATAAGCAGGTGCCATTGAGCGATGGAGCCTTTGAAATGGACTCATTCTTGGTAGTGTATAGCCCCTTGCGAGCGGGTCCTGAAGTTTACCAACAGAAAGTTCTTCCATTTGGTTCCGTGGCTTCTGTCACAGCCTTTCTCAGATTGGCACTGGCATTATGGAAGGTTGGCACCAACCTGTTGAGTCTGCTGTGGTCGTCTTATTTCGACGACTTTTTCTCTGTGGCAGAAAAAGAGACCTCTCGGCACACAGACTTGGTGATCTCAGCTTTCTTTTCCATATTGGGATGGAACCTGTCAAATGACAAGCTCTTACCGTATGACTCGGTTTGTAAAGTCCTTGGGGTCAAGTTTGATCTGAAACTTTCTGGCGATGGGATCTCCTTCGTCCTCAACACTGAGGACAGCGTAACAGAACTTTGCGAGTGCATGGATGAAGTTCTGAAATCAGGGCGCCTTAAGAGAACGGAAGGTGAAAAACTAAGGGGTAGGCTACTCTTTGCGGCAGGCCAACTGTTTGGCCGGTCGGTTAGGAATCAAGTCAGGCACCTCTCCAATCACATCCGGTCTGGTAGGGCCACTTTGACAGATGAGACCAAGAGCGCACTTCAAGGGATTAGGGATTACCTTCATGCGAATGTACCCCGAAGAATAGTTGGGTTTTCGTGTGAACATGTCCACATCTACGTAGATGCATCCTTTGACTATGATGGTTATTCCGGAATAGGGGGAGCTTTGTATGACAGTTCAGGCAAACCCATTGCCTTCTTCAGCGAAGAGTTGGACAGGGAATTCCTTGACATCGTTCGCCTTGAAGGCCAGGTCACTGTTATCCAAGAACTCGAGATGCTTGCGCTTATGGCGGCAGCCTGCCTGTGGTGTCCAAAGTTCAAAAATCACAGGGTTGTTGCCTTCACCGATAGTGAATCAGTTCGAGGCGCCTTCCTCAAGTCCTGGTCCAATAACCTACAGAATAATCATCTCTTGGCTTGCATCTTCCAAGTGGAAGAGGAGTGTCTATGCCAGATCTGGCTGGAGCGAGTGCCCAGTCAGTCGAACCCATCCGATCTTCTCTCCAGAGAAAAGGTCACCCAATGGATGGGTCTAGAGTGCAGTCAAGTAGGTGTCAGGCAACTCTGGAGTCATGCGGCCCTGTTCAGGGGTAAGAGCGCGGCCTGAAGCTACGGAATTCCCCCGGTGACAAAAGAAGCATTGCGGCATCCGTCACCGTTGAACTAAGGCTTGAAGGTTTAGGTCTGTTTGCATCAGCAGGGGTCAGCCGATAACATGCTAACAAATAAGGGTTTACTCATGGAACATGATAAAGCTTTATTTGTACGCATGTTTGATGAGTGAAATGAATTGTCATGAACGTGCTGACCACTGCATTTTATCGTTCTCCGTATCTTGAGCTTCAAGTGAAGCACGTTCAGAGCAAGTGCTCTGACAGTCATGTGTCAATGAACATGTTTCAAGACATGGCAATTAACACATGACATGTTATCAACATTAACTTAGTATTATCAAATTGTTTTGGAGTACATCACTCATCAACAAAACAATTTCAGAATTTTTCGTCCCAAAACCTCTCCCACCCTTAGAGCAAGTGCTCTAGAGCAAGTGCTCTAAATCCAATCAGTATCGACAGTGCAATGGACGTCCAACCCGACATTGACCTCGTCTCCATCTTCGGCGATGCTTTTGTGGTCCAAAGTTACCTCCACAAAATTGAGATCATAGAGGAGATCCTCACTGACATCAGTGACTACGTCGAAGATCAAGCACTGCCTCAACCATCCATCCAAATCGATGCGATTCGTCATCAACTTGGACAAGTCAAAGTTCAGATTCGCTACCTGCTGCAGCTCAAACTTTTGGAAGCTTGCCGTCGCCTGCGACAGCACGTCCTTCAACACGGACAACTTCCATTATTGAATCTTGACTTTCACCGCTGATTCTGGCTGAATTTTACCTGGCAACGTTGCCTACCCAAGCCAGAGCGCGGCCTGAAGCTACGGAATTCCCCCGGTGACAAAAGAAGCATTGCGGCATCCGTCACCGTTGAACTAAGGCTTGAAGGTTTAGGTCTGTTTGCATCAGCAGGGGTCAGCCGATAACATGCTAACAAATAAATATATAATATATATATATAATATATATATATATCTATATCTATATCTATATATACTATAAGAGACATTCTGCACATTCTGCGCTCTGAGAGTTTCTCCAGGTGCACCAGGCGTTGATCGACGGGTTGACTCCAAGCAACGGCTTTTCTTATGTCACCGGTGGACAGCCGGACCCAGCGGACGATCTCCGGCCGTACAACATCACCAGCCCGGAGAAGTTCCAGTTCATTGCGCAGGCATCAGACATCTCGTGACATCTCGTGACATCTCGTGACATCTCTCAAGTTTTTTCATACATGTTGGGCTTTCATAGATTTTCATAGGGCATTTCATGGTTTTGAACGTTCTGGGTCATTGGCTTCATTGGCTTCATTGAGCACTGACTTATGATGAATATACTCAGAGTATCTCAGGTTGATGTAGTGGATAATTTCATTTCAAGTGGAACCATTGAACCTGGGCCTGAATAGCACCATAGTAGCTCATCTCCAAGGTCAGATCTTGTCTGTTGTCAGGGTCGCCACGATGCTCCCAAGTACTATGGCACCAACGGCGACATCCTAAACTTCGCCATCTACCAGACGAGCGGTGCTTCGAGTTCGGTGTTGAGGATGTTTTCTGTGAGCCGCATCCATGGTGCCCTGGGCGACAATGGACAGAACTACAAATCTCTGCAGCTTGGATGGTCTGGGCCGTCTGGGTATCAAGGATAGCTGATAGCTCGTCGAATTGTCAGAAATGGATCCAGTGGTATCAAGGTCCTGTTTTTCTGTGTTTAGAATTTTGGGTCAGGTAGTGGGATTGCTATCAAGAGGGAAGATTCATGACCAAATTCCAAAGACGTGTTCCTTGGTCACAGCTGGACGTCTGACACAGACCTAAAGTTGGCCGGGCAGCAGAAATGCTACAGCTTGTGTTGTGCTTCAGGTCGCTCCTGGCCAAGACCTTCAATGCTGACATGAACGTCAAGTATGGCTGCGGCCTGAAGAGCGAAGTGAACCTGGTGTGATCCATACGGAGAAAAAACGTATGAAATAATGAGCAGACTTACAAATGCTGCAGCCACAGGACACAATCACACTGAAGAGTGAACTGATTTTCTGCGACTTGCAAAGCAGCGCTGCTTTCGCAATTTGAATCGCACCAAAATGGATTTATGACAGTGCCACATGACGGTGCCACAGAGCAATCACCGAGCAATCACCGATTTCGGCCCAGTTTGGCTGGAAAAAACACCACTTTCTGCAGTGTTTCCTAAATCATTTTGCGAGGTTAGCGAAAGATGCTGTGCTTGACAGCTGAGACACGTTGATTCTCCAAAAAGTCCACGCTGCATCCTGGTGTTCTCGACACCGTCATAGTGTCTACTATGTCTACTATGTCTACTCAATCAGGTTGACCTCAGTGAGTGAGTAGGGGTTGTGAGTTCTGTGATACTTTACCCTTTCAGTACTGCTTGCAGCACAGCTTGCAGCACGGCTTTCCAGTCAAGTTCAACATAAATTGATACATTCCAGTGGTATTTTTACATGTAAAACAACATCAAAAGGACTTCGCCTACCTTTCGAAGCTCCGCGTTTCGTTCGAGGCGGCCACCTCGTGCGCTTCTTTTCCTCCAGCGCTTCTCGGGTTTAAACAATCCAACTCTAACATGTTGATGAGGCATGATGTTGTTGTTATGGTTATTATAAGTTATACTTAAGGTTATACAATGCTATGTCAGGCTCCTCAATATGCCAGTAAATAGTATAATTACTGTACACACCGAGAGACGCACATCGCACATCTATTTATATACATTGTATACATTACAAAGGTGCAAGAGCGAAACCTCATATAGCATTCCCATAATGACATACCAATGACGTACCTATAAATGGCTTGTTTAAACAACCAAGGTCCCTTCAAAGTAGGGCCGTAGGGCCGTAGGGCCTGGAAATGGGGTCACAGCCATGAATCGAGTGAATCGAGTCCTAGCTGTGAAGCCAAGGAGTATGATCTTTGCCTAGACCTCAGCTGGGAGACAGCTGAGAGACTTCCTTCAGATTCTTCTGAGATTCTTATGGATGGAAAATTTGCTCACATTTTCATACATTTCATTTTACTATGCTGATACTTGATCGATACTTGATCGACACTTGATGCGTCCTTTGTTTATGGGGGACCTTCACTGGAGAGATGTTTTTGAATTCACAAGCCATTTCTTTTTCTGGGAGCATGAGATTCAGCAGGAACCAGAAACATGCAGAAAAAAACAACAGACCTGAACTGGACCATCTAATAATCCACTTGCAGCGATATCAATTCTGTTTCCTCCACAAGTCATCTACTCCGTTGACCAAGCCAAAGCAGAGGTGTCATTGGTGCTGGTCCGGGTGGCTACACAGGTATGCCCGTGTGATGCCGGTTGGGGGGGGGCACAAAGGACTGGTTCAAGTTGTTCAATTCAAGTTGTTCAAGTTGTTCAAGTTGTTCAAGTTGCTGGACTCTGCAGTTGGGTACCGGGCTCTACCAATTGTAAAGGAAAGATCAATCTGTAGCCTATTCATTGCTGTGTGTGATAGCTGCTGACACCGCTCTTGACAGTTTGTAGTTTGCCCAAGCTCCCACCAGTGCCAGAAGCCGTGGTAAGTGCCGGTAAGTTCCGTTGCAATGTGCAACGCGTCGCCAACGGTCGCATCTGGCCACGCTGCGCCAATTGCCAACACCAAACCAGCTCTTATGAAGACTACAACCGGGGCAGCCCTGGAAGCTTACCACAAGGAATTGGCAGAAGCACAGAAGCAGGTGGGAGTCAGTGGGAGCCAGTGGGAGTCAGTGGGGGTTTGCAGATGTGGCAGGGAGATCCGTTCGAATTATGAAATGCAAACATTTGTGTATAGAAAAGCAAAGGCTGTGAAATTGCGTCTGAGGTGGCAGTCTTCTTGGTGAAGAATCACTTCAAGGACATTTCACCTCAGACAATGCTCCGAAAAAATCACGAATTTGGTCATTTGACCCTCGAAACTTGCAACACATACCTTGCGCAACAAAAGTAAGACTTCCAAACATTTCGAAACAGCAACTTAGTTGTTTCCTTCAGGCCCGTGACCCCAGACCCTTACAGTGACAATTTTTTGACAGTTTGGTGATGGATTGGGCTCGGCTGTCACGCTCGCATGGTGAGGAGATTGATCCAAATTGCAAGCGCGGTATGTTCTTTGTGACGTATCCGCTTCACGAAGCAGTTAAGCAGGGCAACGTGCCGAGACCGCATTGCTTCAGACCTTTTGGAAAGAGGAATTTGACAGCAAAACGAGTCGGAAATTCGCAAACAAGCGTCAGCAAGACTTCACACCTAAAATTTGCACAGGATTTTTTTGATTTTGTCAACAGGGGCAAGCAGCTAAGGCCTACATTGCTTACTGGCTATTGAAGTTTGGAGCCAACTGCTGTGCGCTGGACGGGCCTTTTCGTCATCATGCCTACCACTATGCCAAGAAACATGGTGGGGAAGAGATGTTGAAGGTTCTTGAGAGATACATCAAGTCCTCAATGCATCCACATCCGGTACGTCCACCACTGTCTTTGAGGAAGGTTCAGTACATTCCTCCGCCCAGAGGTTTCGAAGAGTTCTTTGCAAAAGTGGGGGCAGATCCTATGGCAGTTGAGAATGAGGAAGACTTCTGGCTGCAAGTTTGCGGGCGAACAAGTCTGCGAAAGGCGCCAGTAGTATGATGTAGCATGCCAGATTGGGTGAATTTGGTTGACTCCGTGACTCCGACAGCCACGGAGACCGGGGTATCTTTACATCCTCGGTCTATGCTTGCGCAGAAGGCATTTAGCTACGAAGCTGTTTGCTTGACAACCCTCATGAGTCTCAGGGGCTCATGGTACACTGCACACTATGTTTCTATATCATGGAATTTGCCTCGTTCCGTAGAGTCAAAAACAACTTGAGATGTTGATATTGATATTGTCACAGATACTACAAGATTAGCCATTGAAGGAAAAACGCATTGAGCTCTGTCGACAATTCAACAAAAAAATGTTCAGAGTTTCGACAGCTTCCCCAAGTATTGATTTCAATCACTTTCATTCGCCAAAGAATTGAAGGAATATGAAGGAATATGAAAGAATTGTTTCTGAAGGACACTTGCCGGACGGTGCCGGACTGATTTGCGGAATGTGGCCTTTGGCTTTGCCGTTGCTTTTTGAGGCAAAGCGTACTCGTGACTCTTGACTCGTGACTCGTGACTCATGTCTCAAACTGATCTGAATCTTGTTTTGTCATGTTTATTTATTATAATATATATATATTTACATATATTATAGTATATTACATATTTAATGTATATATGTAGAATATCCTTCGCATTCCTTTGTCACTTTGTCCGTCCAAAAAAGATTGACTTGAGCCACCTCTGTTTCCCAGGGAGCTATGCTGTGTCGCTTCGCGCTTGACACGATCAATGTTACCGGTATGGTCCTGGACATTGGAGAAAAATCCATTGACAGAAGAGCTGCGTTTCCCGAAGGAACTCCAGGGTTGCAGAAGAAAGACTTGAAACAGATCTTGATTAGTTGCAGCATGTTGCAGTAGCAAAGTTGCCAAAGTTCTCTTGCTGCTTCTGAAGAAAAGGGGGATTGCAATCATGTGATATTTGTACAACTGGTTTACCACAAGAACTCCACTGTTTTCTTCTGAGAACCCTCTGATTTTGATGTTGGACATTTCTGGTGCTTCATCGCACATGGTCACTGGACAATACCACCACGTGGGAAGTCCTGTGGTATCGTGCTGTGATTTGGTACCGGCAACGTCATGCAACATCCGAACGGGACATCGGATGTGGATTTCGTGGGATCCACTCTACCATCGCTGTACCATGTTTGGTCTCTGTTTTGCAGGCTATTTTCATGAGTTTAGGTTCCAAACTGTGAGTTTTTCAGATGGATCCACTGCATAGCGGCATAGCTTGTTCCATCGCCGGTTCACTTGTCTAGGCAGAATCTGAGAAGATCTGCGCCACAGGTATCAGTGACACCAATGCAAAGCTGCTCACATTTGCCCCGAGTGCCAACGCTTCGAATCAGCGACATGTGGGAAAAGATGCGGGAGAGGAACTCTTGTCACCAGTTTGTTCTGAAGCGATCTTGAATAGCATCAGTCCCTTCAGTTGTTGGTATCCAATCTGTTGAAATTCGAAGGATTCGAAGGGTTTTGGACCTCCATGCGAGTTCCCTGCAGGTGCCATCAAGGCAGCACAGTTGGGCCTGAAGACCGTCTGCATCGATAAGTCCTTTGGCTGCAGCCATGCCATGCCATGCCATGCCATGCCATGGCAACGTGGAATCTGTGGCGATCCGAGGCGTGGCCCACCTGGAGGCACGTGTTTGAACGTCTCCGCCTCGGTGACATGTCGCATGACCTTGTTCGAGTTGGGGGAGAAACCTATTTTTGATAAACGCTGGTTGCAGAGCCCAAATGTATCCAAATGTGATAATCTGTTACAGAAAAGGTCCCCCGTAGTTGAAGCCAGAGGTTGGGACTCTTGTTGGCCTGCAAAAAATGTCGCAACCTTTGCCGTGAGGTGGGATGCATTCCATCCAAGGTGCGGACACAGTATACTTGTCTGACTCTAACCTGGTCAGTTGATGATAACCGAACATTTTCATCCAAGTTTTTGGTTGTAAAACAATGAATACTATGACCGACTATTACAACTACTATCACTCTATCCTAAAGTTAGCAAAGTATGTTCTAGTTGGTAGGTTAAGGGATAATTCTTAGCCGCAACCGAACTTCTTCCACGGAAGTGCAGCCACTTCGATGGGTGCGACGCTGCAGAGGCCATGCTGCAATCGTCAGCTCTCTACCACGAGGCCAAAATAACCTTCGAGTCGTTGCTTGGCACAACAACTGCTTGCACAAAATGATGTATAATGTCATACTATAATGCAGCATATCATGACATATATATATATACACAATATATATATATACACATATATATATATACAATGTATATATATATACAATATATATAATATATATATAATATACAATATATATATACAATATATTAATAGACATATATATATATATACATACAATGTATATATATATATACACATAATATATTAAGTCTATTAAGTTATATAACTATCAGATAATTACATACATAGAAACTACATGGGAACTGGTTGTGTGGCAGGTGAACTGCTCACTGAAATGTGAAGAGAGATTGTGTAGCAAAGCATTTCGTGTAATATTGCCGTTCTTGCAATCTCCTGGTTGGCATGTCATTATGTTGTCATGATGTTCCACAGTTATGGGTCGTTTTGGAATCCCCAGATGTTCGCCACCCACCAGCTTTGGAGTAAGGCGTGGCATCATGGGAGCCGAGACTTGGCCTGAAAAACCTGAAACTTTGGCCTTTTTGAGGGATTAGTGCTATAGCTGCTACATTTGATATGCCTCGTGCGATTTATGTTCCGTGTTCATACCAAATCCGCTGCGCGGATCAATAGAGCCAGTAGCTTCAGTGCGTTTTTTTTAGAAAAATGCAGTCACCATTGAAACGGAAGAGGTCACGACATGGGCTGTCTTCATGTACCTTGATGTATCTTGTATGTTCAAGCTGAGGGAAACCTCTCGTGTGACTTCTCCAAGATGATGGAGAACAAGAATGCCGCAGTCAAGAAACTCACAGGGGGCTAGAAGCCCAGGTGGATTTAGGTGAGTAGTTGGCCAAGTCCTGCCAAGTGATGTCTTGTATGATCAGCTTGCCACCATGTTGATCAACGCCACTACATTGATCTAGAGATAGTGATTGGTTCTTTTAGTAGTAGTGGAACTAGCGTTTTTTGCTTCGTCTTCCGGCAGACTGCGTAATGTTTAACCTTTTTGTACATCTGAAAGGAACATCTAACAGTTTCTAACAGTTTCTAATATCTCTACAAGCCATTGTGCATGCGGCATTGACTGTCCGAGGCATTGAGGGCCTTTTCAAGAGAGATAAGGTGCGAAACGGGGCCAAGCTCTGGCGTGCCAATTCAACGGCAATACCAATCATGTATATTATATAGATTATACATATATATATATATACATATGTATATATCATATATTTTTAGATATGTAGAATTTTATGTAGTATACATGTATATATATATACAGATACATATTAATATATATATATATATAGACATATGTAAATTATATATATATATATTTCTGATCATATATAAACAAACACTTCTCCAGTCTGATCCGCAGATCCCACTGTCAGCAGGTGAAATATTTGAAGGGCTTCGGAAAGCTCACTGGACCCAACTCAGTGCCATACAGCATTTAGCTGGCTTGACTTGTGAAATCCACTTAGAGAAGTAGAGCCGGCTAAACATTTCGATGTCATGAAATTCAAATGCTTTGAGATTTGTACGATGCCAGCGGATAGAATTTCCGCGTCACTTGAGGTGACGGTCGCTTTGAATGATGGCGGAGAGGAGACCATCACAGCCAAAAACATCATGTGACTTCGCTGCAAAAATTTGCCGTTTGCAGCCTGCATTGTGGATAGAATTCTTAAAGCTGCATGGGGATTCTTGTGCACAAACCATCCTATCATTTCCTCCCCTGTACTCCATAGCTTCTCCTTTCTTCCATCAGGTTCTTTTCTGCGGAGGATTTCGTTATCATTTCATAAAACCTTTCTGCAGCTTCTGGATGCCAGCTTCGGCTGTCAAAGGCTGGCAACCGGCTCCGAGATCATTGAGAAACTTCCTTTTGTGGAGGTCGACGAAGAACAGATCGTCTCCTCCACCGGCGCATTGGCCTTGTCCCTTGGCAAACTCATGCCAGGTACAACCTTACGAGTATCAATATTGTAAAATATTGTGCATATATATATATATGTATATATATATATATGTATATATATATGTATATATGTATATATATATATATATGTATATATGTATATATATATATATGTATATATATATACTAATTATACATACGTACATTTCAAGGAGTCTATCCGGGTCAGAAACTATCGAGTCCAATCAGCGTCACGGAGCAGCGTCAAAGACGATCGGGATTGTCGGGGCGGTTGGTACGGATTTCTTTAAGATTTGTTTTAGGGTTTCTTTTAGGATTTATTTAGGGTTCTTTTTAGGGTTTCTTTTCAGGGTTTCTTTTAGGGTTTCTTTTGGGGTTTCTTTTAGGGTTTCTTTTTGGGGTTTCTTTTGGGGTTCTTCTAGGGTTTCTTTTAGGATTTCTTTAGGGTTCTTTTTAGGGTTTCTTTTAGGGTTTCTTTTGGGGTTTCTTTTAGGGTTTCTTTTTGGGGTTTCTTTTGGGGTTCTTCTAGGGTTTCTTTTGGTTTTCTTAGGGGTTCGTTATGGTTTCTTTTAGGGTTTCTTTTAGGGTTTCTTTCAGGATTTCTTTAGGGTTCTTTTTGGGGTTTCTTTTAGGGTTTCTTTTAGGGTTTCTTTCAGGATTTCTTTAGGGTTCTTTTTGGGGTTTCTTTTAGGGTTTCTTTAGGGTTTCTTTCAGGATTTCTTTAGGGTTCTTTTTGGGGTTTCTTTTAGGGTTTCTTTAGGGTTTCTTTCAGGATTTCAGGTTTCTTTATTTCTTTAGGGTTCTTTTTGGGGTTTCTTTTAGGGTTTCTTTAGGGTTTCTTTCAGGATTTCTTTAGGGTTCTTTTTGGGGTTTCTTTTAGGGTTTCTTTAGGGTTTCTTTCAGGATTTCTTTAGGGTTTTTTGGGGTTTCTTTTAGGGTTTCTTTAGGGTTTCTTTTTCAGGATTTCTTTAGGGTTTCTTTTAGGGTTTCTTTAGGGTTTCTTTAGGGTTCTTTCAGGATTTCTTTAGGGTTCTTTTTGGGGTTTCTTTTAGGGTTTCTTTAGGGTTCTTTTTGGGGTTTCTTTTAGGGTTTCTTTAGGGTTTCTTTCAGGATTTCTTTAGGGTTCTTTTTGGGGTTTCTTTTAGGGTTTCTTTAGGGTTTCTTTCAGGATTTCTTTAGGGTTCTTTTTGGGGTTTCTTTTAGGGTTTCTTTTAGGGTTTCTTTCAGGATTTCTTTAGGGTTCTTTTTGGGGTTTCTTTTAGGGTTTCTTTAGGGTTTCTTTCAGGATTTCTTTAGGGTTCTTTTTGGGGTTTCTTTTAGGGTTTCTTTAGGGTTTCTTTCAGGATTTCTTTAGGGTTCTTTTTGGGGTTTCTTTTAGGGTTTCTTTTAGGGTTTCTTTCAGGATTTCTTTAGGGTTCTTTTTGGGGTTTCTTTTAGGGTTTCTTTAGGGTTTCTTTCAGGATTTCTTTAGGGTTCTTTTTGGGGTTTCTTTTAGGGTTTCTTTAGGGTTTCTTTCAGGATTTCTTTAGGGTTCTTTTTGGGGTTTCTTTTAGGGTTTCTTTAGGGTTTCTTTCAGGATTTCTTTAGGGTTCTTTTTGGGGTTTCTTTTAGGGTTTCTTTAGGGTTTCTTTCAGGATTTCTTTAGGGTTCTTTTTGGGGTTTCTTTTAGGGTTTCTTTTAGGGTTTCTTTCGGGATTTCTTTAGGGTTCTTTTTGGGGTTTCTTTTAGGGTTTCTTTAGGGTTCTTTTTGGGGTTTCTTTTAGGGTTTCTTTAGGGTTTCTTTCAGGATTTCTTTAGGGTTCTTTTTGGGGTTTCTTTCAGGATTTCTTTAGGGTTTCTTTCAGGATTTCTTTAGGGTTCTTTTTGGGGTTTCTTTTAGGGTTTCCCCAACTTGTGGGGGCCTGTGATCTGCCAAATGGAAAAGACTCCCAGCGACTCAGGACGAAAGTGCCAGAGAAGATGGTGGTCATCGGTGGTGGTGTGTGGAATCCCGGTTGTACCTGATGGTATCTGACCCCATGGAACCCAAAATTGCTATGACATCATTATAAATTAAAAAACATATAGGGGACATGACATTTCCATCATTTTTTCTTTATGTTTTAATCGTTTCGATATGTTTCGACGCTCTCAGAACTGAGGTGATTGGATTGGAACTGGGTTCAGTCTACGAACGTCTGGGCGCCAAAGTCACGGCATCTCGGCAGCAGCTCGACGTGTCCTTTTGAGACTTCCGAGACTCGACTTCTGCGACTTCGACAGGTGGTGGAGTTCTTGCCCACCATCGGTGGAATTGGCATCGATGGCGAAGTCTCCAAAGAGATGCAGAAAATTTTGCCTTTCAGCTGATGTTACTGGAGTTGGTGAACACTTCCTGATGGTATCAAGATGTATCAAGTAACATCAGGTAACATCAGGCAACTAAGTAACTTTCACAAGGCCAACGATGTCCTGGGATTTCAAGGAAAAAGCAGGGCATCAGCTTCAAAATGTCGACCAAGGCGAATCTGTGAGTTGTTCGTGTGCGGATGATTCGCCCAGTTCTGCAAAAATGCATTGTAGACAGATCGCAGAAATTCGCAGAACATGATGAGTGTTTTATAATTTTTTTCAGTGTTTCAGCCTCTAGACGGATTGCATTGATCACCATCGAGAAAGTGTTAAGCCAGTTTTGCACAGCTTTCTGACAATACCACACTCGGAGAACATACAACAAATCCTTGGCACTAACGTTTTCGTGTTGGTGCATGGCAAAGGTATGTCAGAAAAGTCGCACCTGTTTCAACCTTTGCCTCAGCACATGAATAAATAGATATGGGTATGGATCAATACCTATTAATACCATTTTTAGGGGGATGAACATCCATTTACCAGCTATTTTGATGTTCACCAGGGGTACAAGGTTTTGACACACTGCCATATAAATAGCATTGCAGAACCATCAAGATGAACCAGGAATCGCAACCCCTCCCAGCATCCAACTGATCAAGTCGCCATGTCGCCGAGAGGTGACCGCTGTCGAGAAGTCTGGCAGTACGGTGAAGGCGCACTGCCGGGGTAGATGGGGTGTGTGAATTGTGCTCCACACATTTGTGCACATCCCAGGTGGCATTAGCATTTTACCATTCTTCCATCATTTTGGCCTTCTGGCCCAATTGCCCCATAGGGTCAGGGAATGCCTTAGGCTTTGAGCTAGTGACTACATGTCCTGCCACCCCGCTGTGAAAAGGGTGGCCCTTTGCTTTTGCATCTTGGCAGCTGCACTTCGCGTGGCAGCACTTGGGATTGGTCTTTGCGAGTTACCAACCAACATTGGTAGCGGAGCATTGCGCTCCAGAGCCCTTCTACCTCACTACAACCTGGACACCTTCACCTACCAGATCAACTACGCCCATCCACTGCGCTACTACAACCTCATCACCCTCTACTACCTCCCGTGGTCTTGGTCTTCGACGATGCCGACATCTGGAGATGGAGCTACATCGACTTCGAGCACTACCGGCATGGAGATGCTGAAGGACACCTACATCCCAGTGTTCAACAACAAACCTGGTGATTACCGTGAATGGCGCCAACGCATTGGCCTTTACCGCCGAAAGCTGGAACTACAAGGAAAAGGGAAAGAAGCTGTGCTCAACGTCCTGACCAGCTTGCACGGCGTGGCCTGGCGACAGTTGGAGCCGAAGGTGGAGACGATTTTGTCGAAAGATGAGGGTGCCTTTGACCTCATTCTCAGTGAGCTGGACTCTACGTTCCGCTACAACGAGGACGTCGAGATGCCTCGTGCCTTTGAGAAGTTCTTCTACGGGACAACGAGGCGACCAGAGCAGACCTTGCTGTCCTATGTGGCGGACCATCGAGAAGCACTACATGAAGTTGAAAAACATGGAGTTCAAGTGTCTGACAAGGTGAGCGGCTGGATCCTTTTGAGGCGCTCAGGTCTCTCAGGAGAACAAAAGCAGCTGATCCAAAGTCAATGCCCCAAGCTGTCCTACGACAAGGTTGTGGAGGCGATGTACTTTTTGTTGGGCCAAGACTACAAAGGCAAGTCTCATGATGCGACCAACAAGTGGAGCAAGGGACGAACCTATGGGAGATGGTCCAACAGACAGCATGGCTATTTGACTGAGGAGACCTACGACGCCGAGGAGATCTACCCCGAGGACTATGCCTACCAACAATGGGATGACGATGAAACCTATGGTGAAGACTATGGTGATGATTGGGATGAGTCCTACATCGAGGACACCTACAACGCTGCCGACTACGAGGACGCGGACTTCCCGGACGAGCCCTTGGATGATGGAGGTGAACTTGAAGAGGCATACGCCTCATACCTTGATGCCAGGCGACACTTCGCCCAGATGAAAGCTGCTCGAGGCTATTTCCCTGTCGTTGCCTTGACGGATGGGGGACAATCTATGCCAGCAAGTTCACAGGCACCACGAAGCCCTTCGAAAGGCAAAAGCAAGGGCAAGGGCAAGGGCAAGATCAAGGGGAAGCCATCCCTGCGACAATCCAATCCACCACAACGTGGTTCTGCTGCCTCAAGGGCCAATGCTACGCGATCTCTACGTTGTGGACAAGTTGGACATTGGGCGGCAAACTGCACTTCACCTACATCAAAGGCGAGCCCTACGTCATCGACTACCTCCTCACCTTCGAAGAAGGCAAAGACGGAATCAACCATGATGGTGCGCGACCTGGCCAAGCAAGTCCCCAAGGGATTGCCATTGCTTGGCAATGATGGTTTCTTTGGAATCCAAGATGGTGGTGCATCGTCTGTGGTTTGCGGCCATGACGTCTTGATGAACATCGTGGACCACCTGGTGATGCGAGGCGTGCCCATCGAGCGCTTCATGTTCATGGCGACCAACAAGCTGTTTGGCTTTGGGGGTGATGCCAACCGAAAATCAGACTGGTCTGTCAGACTTCCAGTCTACATCGAAGGCCAACCAGGCTACATCGAGACCTTCATCGTCGAGGGCAGTACGCCTCTCTTGATCGGCCGACCGATCTTGCAGGCGCTCAACATCAAGATTGACTACAACCAGAACAAGATCTCTGTCCAAGACGGTGAATGGAAGGACACCATAATGGGTGAGAAAGGAGAGTACCTTCTGCAACTGGACCATGGATTGGAAGATGACCCTGAAGGACATCACATTGCCTTCGACTATGTCACCAGCGAGACCTGCACAGCGATCAACAACTATGACGACCTGGCTGACTACATCAACATCCATGAGTACCTCTCCATGACCAACCGCAGCCCTCCTGAGAAAGCCTTCTTAGAGGAAGACACAACCTTGGAAGAAACACCCACTGAAAGCTTTGAAGATTTCCAAGAAGATGATCCCGCTGCTGTGAGGCGACCGATCACCGACAAGTTGATCAAAACGATGCACATGGAGTTCAACAGCTTCAATTGGCGTCGCAAAGACACCATTGAACAGGTGTTGCATGCCTACCAGACTGGACGCCGCACCTTTTGGGAAGTCTACAGTGGTTCTGGCAACTTGTCCTCGGTGATGCGGGATTGCGGTTGGGATGTCATGACCTTTGACTACAACACGGGCTGGGATTTTGATGTTGCAGCCCACCGGAAAGAATTTCTTCAACTACAAGATCGAGTTTGCCCTGACTTCATTTGGTACAGCCCCAAATGCACTGATTGGTCCCCTCTCCAACAACTCAACGCCTTGACCGAAGATCGAAAAATGGCACTTCAAGCTGAGCGCGACTACCACGAGAAGGTCCACTTGAAGATGTGTCGCCGAAGCTACTTGAAGCAGAGGCGTGAAGGAAGGCATGCCGCCTTGGAGCAGCCAAGGTATGCACTCAGCTGGAAGACGACCACCCTGCATGATCTTCCAGGATATCAATGCAACTTGGACCAGTGCCAGTTTGAAGTGATGATGGCGGATGAGAATGGGATGGACCAGTACATCAAGAAACCAACACGACTGCAATGCACGGACGAGCACATGGCCAACGAACTCTCACTCTTGTGCCCAGGTGACCACTACCATTTGCCAATTGAGGGCAGTTCACCTGGAGTTGGCAACCGTGCTGCTGCTTCTGCAGTTTATCAAGGAGTTTTCTGCAGCTGCATCGTTCAGGCAATCATCAACCTCTTCATCAACCAGGAGCATGAGCAGACCTTGATGACCCACGAGCGTATCCATGCAGGTGATGACATGGCCGATGAGACCTCACTTCCTCCGGAGCTTGACTTCGAGAACTTGTCCGAGGTTTGGCCTGACACACCATCTCCTGAACAAGATCAACATGCTGAAGTCCGACAACGCCGTGGAGTCCTTCAACGTTTGGATGAATGTGACCGCCAAGCTGCCAAGAGGACAATCACCAAGCTCCACCGCAACTTGGGCCATCCATCCAACAAAGAGCTCATCAGGTTGCTGAAGACCAAGAATGCTGGACCTGCTCTACTACAAGCTGCCCAAGAGCATGAATGTGGACTATGTGACCTTCACAAACGTCCCAGTGGAGTACCCGTGTCGAGCATGCCCAAGGACACCACATTCAATCAAAGAGTTCAAGCTGACACTCTATGGGTGAAAGTTCCTGGGGTGAAGCACAAGCTTCCTGTGCTGATGATGTCAGATGCTCACAGGCGACTTCTTGCAGCTCGCTTCATCAAGGCCGAGACCTCTGAGGAGTACATCAAGCAGATTGAAGCTGCCTGGATCAGCTTCTTTGGACCCATGAAAACCCTGCAGGTGGATGAACACAGGGCTTGGGCATCAGATGCCATGCGAGAATGGACAACTGAACATGGGATCCAACTGGTGATTTCTCCGGGGCAATCTCATACAAGACTGGCCATTTTGGAGCGAAGACATCAGGTGACAAGAAGAGCGATTTCCCTCTTTTTGGAATCCAACCCTGGTGTAGCTGCTGACAAGGACGCCCTCATCATTGCTTTGACCTACATTGTGCCGCAGCTGAACAGGATTCCAAATGTGCATGGATACAGCCCCATACAATGGGTGCTGGGCTACACGCCACATGTGCCCGGCTTGCTGTCTGAGGAATCTTCCCTCAGCAATCCAGCACACCTTGATCCATCCGAGAAGTTCATGGAGAAGCTGCGCTTGCGACAAGAGGCCAACAAGGCCATGATTGAGGCCGACACCGACTTCCGCCTGAGACGTGCCCTGTTGCGCAAGTACATGGGCCAACCTGTTGTCCTTCAACCAGGCGACTTGTGCTACTACTGGAGAGACACTCCAGCAGGATCAACTGCGAAGTTGAAATGGCGTGGACCAGCCACCGTCATTATGAGAGAACAAGGTCAACATGGCCACCACACCGACATCTACTGGATTGCTCATGGAACAGTTCTCCTACGTGCAGCTCCTGAACATGTCAAAGCTGCCACACCAGTCCAAGATCTTACAGAACGACCTCGAGATCCCTTGGACACAGCCAAGCAGTCTCTGTCCAACATCAGAGGCCGTGGTGTGACGCAGTACATTGACCTCCCCAAGAGCAACAAGCGCAGACGCGATGAAGTTGCCACTGATGAGGAGGAGGACGAGCACGATGAGGACATGCAATCATATCCAGGACAAGAGCTACCACCAGACAGGTGGAATGTGTCAGAAGATGGAAGACTTTGGACTCGAATCCACAACATTCCAAGACGCAAGCTCTATGTGCCCGAGCCAACAGCTGATGTCCCGATCCACCTCTTTCAACCAGAACGAGCAACAGATGTTCGCAGAGGACATCCAAACCCTGAGCACATCAGGATCAGAGATGAGTGGCGAACACCCAACTCTGACAGGGAACTTCACTATGTTTGGACTGGCACAACAACCTTCTTCATCAAGACCGACCAGCTGTCCGACAACGAGAATGAGTACAGCCCTGGCACACCATATCAAGGAGATGGACCTGATTCAGATGAAGAAGTACATCCTGGCGGAGCACCTCATGCTGGAGAATCTGAACAAGAACCACCGAGCGCTGAAGCCTCAGCCTCAACAACAACTACAAGTCCTACGGACAATTCCAACAACACCAGAACCAATGGACTTGAACCTCTCCCTGAAGAACAACAACAACAACCTGAAGATCTACCTCCACCTCAACCGTCAATGTCACCAATGAGTCAAGAACCAATGGCTGAACCTGCCATAGTACCTTCGGTACTACCACCACCTGGCGTTGAAATTCCTGATCAACAACGAGAAGTATATGAAGCCCCTGCCAGTGGTGAAACATTTGCCCAACAACGTGCACGACATGCACGACAAGAATCTCTACTTTTCCGACCTCAACAACCTGGAGCACCTGCGTATGGTCCACAACGACCTGCTGAACCAAGACCAACTCCATACTCGGAGAAGCCTCTGTCCAGAGATGATGCGCTCAACGCAACCATCGACATCGACCTCTTGAAGGAGAACAACCTGCCAACTGGATGGCGCTTGGACAAGGGCATGATCGTCATGGATGACATCAAAGATGAATGGAAGTTGGAAGGCAACTACCTGACCAGGAAGCACTACGTGCCCAGGAACTCTGACTTTCAGCTGACGGAGGACAATTGCCCACTGCCGCTGAACTACTTCACCAAGGACCGCTACACGAAGATGGGAACCAGTTTGGTTCGAGACAGATGGACAAGACCCACGGTCAACAAGAAGCTGAACTCCAAGTTTTGGACCGGCTATACGCGCTTCAAGCTGGCACCTTCCTGGCGCAAGACAGCTCAGAAGCTCTACATGGAGAAGAGCGACGGGAAGGAGACCATGTTCTACAACGAGGACAATGTCAACAGCCAGACCACCAGCAATGCGCCGGTGACTGAGCGCACCGAGCGCCTGAGCTTGGACGACCGACTGACCTTCATGGAGGCCAAGAAGAAGGAGCTGGAAAGCTTTTTCAACAACGAAGTTTGGCTCTTTGACGATGCGTCAAATGCGCCTGTGGAAAGGGTGCTCAAGGCAAGGTTCATCTTGAACTGGAAGAAGAACGAAGATGGAACCCCTAGGGCAAAGGCCCGACTGGTGGTGCAGGGATTCAAAGACCCTGATGCCTTGGGTGGAACTTTGTCGACAGCGAGCCCTACTTTGACCCGTTTGTCAAGGAACTACATCCTGACGGTGGCCACCATGATGGGCATGACTATCTTCACCAGCGACATCTCAACAGCCTTCTTGCAAGGCAGAAAATTCTCCCCTGAGTCCAACAGGACCATTTGGGTGAAGCTTCCTCGAGATGGCGAAGCTCTCTTGGGCCTACCTCCAGGCCATGGCAAGTTGATGAAGTTGGTCAAGCCAATGTATGGCCTGTGTGATGCTCCAAGAGCCTGGTATGAGGAAGCAGCAACAAGGATTCTCAACATGGGCAATGGAACCATAGTGCAGCATCCGCTTGGTGCCTGCCTCTTCCTGGCCTATGACCGTCCAGTACATCCTCCACCAGAAGATGGCGCTGATCCACCTCGACTTCTGGCGCTCTTTGGCATCCACGTTGATGATATCTTTGGATGCTACATGGATGATGCTGAGACCGAGAAGCTGCTGAACAACCTCAAATCCATCTTCACCTTTCGTGAATGGATCACCAGCAATGACAAGAACGAGCTGGAGTACTGCGGGGCCCAGATCACCAAACTTGGTGACAACCATTGGAAGATTCACCATGAGAAGTACCTGACGAAACAAAAGCCAATCACCTACCCCAAGGAACGACATGGCTCAAATGATGAGGTCACGGACCGTGAGCGTACATCCTTGAGGGGATTGGTTGGTGGACTTCAATGGCCCGCAACACAAACCAGTCCACACCTACAATGTATGGTGTCTACCTTGGCTGGACAGATTTCAAAGGCAACAACATCCACCTTGGACACCGCCAACAAATGCCTACGCTTTGCCAAGCAGAACCAAGATGCAGGTTTGGAGTTTAGGCACCTTGGGTCCAAGGATGAGGTCACCTTTGCCTGCTACTCCGATGCCTCATTTGCATCGCGAGATGATCTTTCAAGCCAAGGAGGTTACCTTCTCATCATGACGCACCGTGACGTCACCAGTGGTGGAGAAGGACACTATAACATTGTGGACTGGCGCTCATGGAAACTGGCAAGGGTGTCAAGATCCACCTTAGCTGCTGAAAGCCAAGCGGCATCAGAAGCCGCTGATGCTCTTCTCTTCGCCACGACCTTTTGGCGATTGATTTGGAGCCCCTGGCTTCCTTTGGATGACATCCGCACTGCCCAGATCCCCAACCAGCCGAAGCTTGTGGTGGACGCAAAAGCTTTGTTTGACATGCTTGTGCGAGAAGAGATTCAAGCTGGAAGCTCCACCGACAAACGAACTGCAATTGAAGTTTTGGTAACCCAAGACAAGTTGCGCTGCTGCAATGCAACAACAATGTGGGTGAGTTCGGAGTTGCAATACTCAGATGGACTCACAAAAGCCAGTGCAGCCCAACTTCTTGCAGATCGATTGAGGAGCCACCTGACCCGCTTGAAAAGCGATGAAGACTTTGTAGCAAGCAAGAAAAAGTCTGCAGCAGAAAGAAAGAAAGGCACAGAGAAATATGCAATTCGAAAACCTCCAAGAACGGCAACAGCGACTATGTTCGCAGCCTTCTGCACTTCAGCAGCCGCTGCAATGGACTTTGACCTGAACGAGACCTATGCGATTGAGACCAAGACCACCAACACCTACAACCTGAACTACCTGGACTCTGAAGGCGAGCTCTTCACCACGATCATGGCCATTGTCATGGGCTACTTCCTGGTGATAGGAGCGATTGCCACCTGCCGGTGGATGATCACTTTGCCACGAAGGGCGCTGGCAACAGTCACTGCACTCTGGAAGGACAGTAACCTCGAAGAGGCGCACACCCCAGAGGTCAGTGAAATGGCCACACAGACCGATGACGATCCTTTGATGGATGACTTGCACGACCTCCTCCAGCAGAAGTTGAACCTGGAGGCACTACTGGACGAAGCTCAAGATCGGGTTCGGAACTATGAGCGTTCCAATGAGGATCTGCACACCATCATCGGCGACTTCAACCACAGCCGCCAACGGACGATCATCGAAGCTGCCCAGCAGGAGATTTACTTCACTGGATCGGGACAGGCGTGGCACGCCAACTATCAATGCCTGAGGAACCGCACCACGAGACCTATTTACCACAGGACTTGGTGCACTCACTGTTTGCCAATGCTGTGCGAACCACGTGAGGCAAATCAAGCCCCAACAGGTGAAACCTGCCGGGTGCGTTTTGGCGATAGCTAGGTGCCATTTTTCCAACCTTTACTTTCCACCGGTGTGAATTGTGCTCCACACATTTGTGCACATCCCAGGTGGCATTAGCATTTTACCATTCTTCCATCATTTTGGCCTTCTGGCCCAATTGCCCCATAGGGTCAGGGAATGCCTTAGGCTTTGAGCTAGTGACTACATGTCCTGCCACCCCGCTGTGAAAAGGGTGGCCCTTTGCTTTTGCATCTTGGCAGCTGCACTTCGCGTGGCAGCACTTGGGATTGGTCTTTGCGAGTTACCAACCAACAGGGTGCGAAAAGCACTCTTTGTCTTCACATGGCTTCCAATCCATACCCCTAAATCATCCAGTTTAAAAGTCTTATAAATGGATTTTCCACGATAAATGGATGGAATTTCCAGTTTTCTTTTCTGTTTATAGATGGATTTTCCCTTATAAACCGGCTATTGGGGTACCCCCATGGCGATGGAAGCCACATGTTTTCACCGTTTGAGCAGCCCAAAGGTCACCACAGAGCCAGCAGCCGGTGGCGATGCTGAAACCATGGAGCCTTGGGATATCTTCGAAACATGTGAACAAATCTGTCAACGGCTTCACGTGAAATCACCATGAATCCCATCGAACTCTTTTGTCAGCTCATCTTAGAATCTCATATGGATACCGGATACCAGTCAACGGATTAATCTCATGTGGATACCAGATGATACCAGATGATACCAGTCAACGGATTGATCAGAAATTTCCACCGCTTTTATCGGTTGATCGGACAGGACGCCGACGTGGTGCTGGTCTGCGTGGGCCGCCGAGAGTACCGCGACGGCCTGGGCACCGAGGCGCTGGGCATCGAGATGGAAGGCAAGAAGATCAAGGCGACGCAGCGACGATGCAGCCGTGTAACAGTAACGAGTGGATCAGAAAACCCATGATTTATGGAACTTAAAAAAGGATAAAAAAGGATATGTGAGGGTGATTGATGATTTAAGGGTGATTTTACTGATATCTGATTTTTTCAGATCGTGTTGAAGATTTGCATGTAAAATTGGGTTTCTGCTTTTGAAATACTTTGAGATTCCTTCAGTCCTTCAGAAGACTGGAGTTCTTTGGCAAGTATAGCTAGTGGAAAGCTGTCCCGTGGGTGTTTTTTTTCTCCTAAAGAATAGGTTCCTTGCCATTCAAAACGCAGTTTGAAACTATTGGCTTCTGGCTGCTGCGACATTCGTGGCACCAGGTAGATGATACCTTCAAGACTTCAGTGCCAAACATCTACGACTCTTGGCAGCCAAGATGGCCATGACATGCCATGACTCCAATGGCTGAGTCGGAAACGTTGCGGTTGGATGCGGTTGGCTGTGCGGTTGGCTGTGCTAAGGCCATTGGTGACATCATCCATGGCCCCATGTTGGCGCACAAGGCTGAGGATGAAGGTGCTATGGTTGCTGAGTACCTTGGCACCGAAAATTTTGGCGGATCACATGGCTGGTACCAATATTTACTAATCATCAGTCGCACCAGGCTGTGAAACTTTTTGTTTTGTGTATTTAAGTACTTGACTGAATTCGTTTCACGAGGTATTTGGCCACAGGGAAGCACCCGCACTTGGACTACAACAATGTGCTGGGCTCGGGTGATGTGGTGTGCATTGGCTTTGAGACACCGCAAGAAAATGACAAAAAAAAACCTAAAAATGAGAGCGTCTTTTCAGACAAACTACTCGTATCTACTCGTGGTGTGTTTCATCTTTGGACCTTGTTGACCTTGGCTTCAAGCCAAAGAACTCTTCGTCCTTGGGGGTGGTTGATCGCGGCCAGGTGCCTTCCGTCCTCTATACACATCCAGAAGTGGCCTGGGTGGGAAAGACTGAGGAGATGCTCAAGCAGGAAGGTTCGCGACGAGTCGAGCATCAAATTTCTGTCACGCTTTGTCCTTGGAAAGTCCACTGCCGTTGTTTTATGGCGGCATGGCGGCCCCGTGGTGGATATGTATGTGATCTTGTTGAGGATGTACGCAACCGAACTCGGGTTATCATCCACCCCTAAAACAAACCAAAACGAAGAGGCGGACCATCAAGAGAAAGCCCACCAACCGAACAAGAGACAACGAAGAAGAAGTCGACCACCAGAACGCCCTGTGGCCTTGTGGCCCTGCACGCCCTGCACGCCCTGCACGCCAGGTGTGGAGTACCGAAAAGGCAAATTCGCCTTCGCCGCCAACGGCCGTTCCATCGCCAATATGGACACGGATGGCTTCGTGAAGGTGGACCCCGTGGAATCTGTGGACCGTGAAGACCCGTGGACGGACCCGAACACGACCTGGCCCATGATGCCTCGAGCAGGATTTGATAGGGAAATTTAAAGCCTCAAAGATGTCAATGACTTTTGGAATGGTTGAGAGACACCTTGATTTTGTGCTCATCGTGAGGTGTTGAGCTGCAAGAAGACCGACAAGTTGCTGGGGGTCCACATCATCAACGCCATCGCAGGGGACATCATTAGCGGTGCCTGCATTGGCATCGAATATGGTGCTGCTTCTGAGGAGCCAAAGGGACAGTTTCGGGATCTGATCAGGATTCGTAAAGAGGAGATAGTGGTTTGGTATAGTTTAGTACTCAATTCATATTCTAGACGATCTAGAAGGTAAATAGTGGTCTGGCTAGAATTGATTATGAGTTGGGTTTGGTTCCGATCCGACAAGCCCTCGCATGTTACGAAGCGGGTTTCAAGGACCTGGCAAGAGTGTGCATGGCACATCCTACAGTCTCCGAGGCAACGGTTCCATGTGACATCCATCGGTTTCTTCGGTTTCTTCGGTTTCTTCGGTTTCTTCGTTTCCTTCCAAAAACTCTTTAGCAAACAGGAACCGAAGCTGCTTTTTGCTGTATTCCCAGGTCCTTAAAGGAGCCGCCCAGAAGACGGCCTTTGGCAAAGCTGTGAGTGGATAGGGCACGTTGCCAATGACACTTTCTGAATATTTCCGATAGATTTCTCTTTATCAATTTCAATTGCATGCTTTTCAGACTTTAAACTATTTCAACATTCTGTATTCTGGTATTTATTTGTTCCCAAAATTATTGGTTTCGCACCGCATGTTCATTACCCTGTTCTCCCAAGGGTCGCACCAATGTGCCGCAAACCAGCATGTGCTGTCACGTGCGGAGCGGCAGTGCAGATCATGGATGTACTACCAGGAGCTCCCTTTTTGCACCAATCTCCGGTGTTACGATGTCTCATTTTTTTGTTATACAGCATTCTCAGATCCAAAAAGGAAGGGAAACACCTGTTGGGAGGATATTTCCCAGTTCGATCCCCGAAATCCATGCACGACTACTTTGACAAATTCCAACCAACCTCGTTAAATGCCCACATCAGTCCAGATTTGCACGGGGCACATGCGCGGGGTACATGCGCGGCTAAAAGCCGATCATGTGCAGATGCATATCATGCTCGTACATCGATTCATCGTTTCAATCACAGGCCACGGACTGTCCTTGGCTGCTTGGTGTAGAAATGATATCCTTCAGGTGATAATTCGATACAAAGCTGCAAGGCATGATGGTTAGATTTGAGTTGGAGAAATGCCTAAACAACATTCAGCACGGATATTGTGATCAGCGAGTGCATGCCTTCAATTGAAGTGTGGCCACTGTGATTCATTTGCGGCAAGATGTGCAGATCATCCTATGTCCAATATGTTTATGCCAGAAAGAACGCTGCGAGAAAATCAAGCCAAATCAAGCAGGAGTTTTGTCCGCAGCATTGTTTGAATCTAATTCTCAAACTGATTCAAACGATCCAAACGGCTTGCGAGTTTCTTTATTTTGGGCCTTTACGGCCTTTACTAGCGCAATCCAATCCATTCGATCCATTCGATCCATTCGATCCATTCGATTTCGATCCATTCGATCCATTTGTTGTGTCATGGACTGCCCTGCCATTTTGGCTCAGCGCGTCATCACGGTTTTGACCCGCCCTGGTTGTGACCTCAGCGAGTCGCATGGAACTGTGCCAAGAGCCAAAGCATGGTGTCCTCAACTCTGAAGCCCAGATGTGCCCGGAATCCCTAGATGATTTTTCATGTTTTTTTTGTGTAGTGAGATGTGTAGCCACTTAGAGGCTTCCGAGGATTTTCCATTCAATATCCATCAAAGTATTGACAAAATTTGAAGCGATTCCGCGATGTTCGGCGTCTCCTTGGCATCTCATTGAGGTCATGGCGCCGATCGCCTGGGACTGGGGGAGATATGGCGAGTTTCCTAGACCCGTTGTAAAGAAGATTATATGTGTTTCATATATATATAATAGACATATTATAGATGATGTAAATAAGGCACATAAGTTAAGTATCAGTATAAGGCCAAAAAATGAAGCAATTCAGAACAAGAAAAGAGAGAATTGAGAGAATCCTAATCCTTCTATATGGATGATACCTGATATTTTGGCAAGTCATGGCAAGTCTGGGTAATACGATTTGATACGATTTGCGTCTTTTTTTTGTGCCTGGAAAACAACGAGAGTCAGCACGTCGCAGGACAGGGTTCCAAATGCCGAAGCGCTCGTTGCCTTTGAGTTTGCTTCACGAGAGGTGCGGATGCTCCCGGATGCTCCGGTCGTACGGGTTGAAGATGTTGAAACCTGTTGGTCCGTGGTTCATGGTGAGGTCACCCTGCTGTTGGTCCGTCCACCGTCCACTTTTCCCAGGCCATTGCCAATGGCAACACTTCGGGGAGCGACGAGGTGCCAGGATGGCCCTTTGAAGCCGCTATGGCACTCCGTTTCAATCGGATGCATTTGAATTCAAAGGTGGGAAGCGATTTAGACATCAACATAGATGAACTGATACATCAACTGCTAGTCATCAACATCATTTAAATTTTGTTTGAAACACACACACATGAATTATATCACACGTAATTAATTCTATATATATACTTACTTAAATGAATATATAAACACACATATCTCTCTCTATATCTATACACATAAACATACATACGTATTGTATATCAAGAAACACTGAGCTACTTCAAAGTCTTTGGACGCGCCGCGGCCAGGCCACTGGTCTGCTAGCAGCTGCTGAGACAGCAGGCTGCTTAAAGCAAGATGAGGTGCGGAGCGGTGCCGTTGATGAAATTGGTCGAGTTTAAGAGGGAAAAGCTGGGAAAGCCTGGGACAACCATGGATTTTTGAAGATTTTTGGAGGTACTACTGGTAGTTGATGGTACTTGTGTGTCATTTTTTTTTAAATATGGCAATTGCTAGTCTTTATTTTATGGTATGATGTTACTTTCATTACTTTCACACGAATCCAGCACCTTCCAGCTCGAATGTTTGGCCAATGGAGGCAGATGCATCTGCTCGAGCGGCCCTGAAGCGTGCGACAGAGGCAAATGACCTGCAGAGTCAGGCCGCACCCGAAGTTCCCCGTTCACCGGCGGAAGATGTCACTGGATGGTACTGAACCAATTTTATTTGATGGCCATAGTAAAATTATTGATGGTATAACTGATGGCAAAATAGTTGATCAACTATAATCAACTATAATCACTGGTTGATTGCAGTTATGATTATAGTTGATTAGAGTTGATCATTAGCTGCTGTCAGTATTAGGATACTATTAGGATACTATGACTTTGACTGATTTTGACTTACGCAGCGTGGATCTCATGGCAGATTCCGTGCCAGGCAGCTGCCCAACTCTTGCTCGCCGGCCTAGCTGCAGGGACCCATGCTGCCATTGAGGCACCGTGCAGAGGATGCGGATCTTGCGAGGACCCTCTGGTCATTTAACGTAGCTATTGGAAATGGCCATTTATGGTGGATTTACCTATTAATAGCATGGTGATTTTCCATAGTTATGTGAAAGTTTACCAGAGGGTACATCACAGCTACATCACAGCTACATCATAGGTACATCAGCTATCATGATGCAATATGATGCACCTGCGAGCCAAGTTCTTTGGTTTCCTGTATCTGGATGATCATCTTTTGAAAGCGTTGGAAGGCAGAGGAGCGTGCCGCCGCTGCCAAAGCGCTCTTCCAGAAAGTAGGCGGGAAGAGCACGGTGCGTCGACTGCCATAGGGGTCCGAAATCAGTGACTTTTCAACATCAGACATCAACTGTTGAAGTTTTTATGAAGTGTTAATTTGATTTGCATTTTTTGCATTTTTTGCATTTGCTTTTTTTCAGATGCACAGGTGATCCAATGGGCGAGGCCAAATCATCATATTTTCAAGGTCGCCAGCTCGGCGGAGATCAGCGGATCAGCGGATCGGCGGATCCCTGGGATGGCTTCACGCACGATCCACGATTCACTGAGGTTGGGCGATAGCATGCAAAGGCAAGTTCGAGGACACTGTGATCACTGTGATTCTGGTGCTGTTTTTGAAAGATTGGACATGATCAGGGACACAGATGGACACAATAGCCAAGCACTCTACTGAGACTCTACTGACCACTGTACTGGAGCACTTGCAGCATGCTGTTCAGAAACCATCTGCAATATTATGCAATGCGTGAACAAGAGCTTAGGCCAATTTCTCTCAAATCAGGCTGACCAAACACACATATATATATATAAATTATATTATATTATATTATATCATATCATATCATATTATATTATATTATATTATATTATATAAATATCCTGAACTGTATACCGGAGTAGTCTGTTATTTTTCTTGCTTTCACCTCCACGATATGGCCAAGACACACCAAGCAGATTACCAGACTTGGGAATCCACAGGAGGGCATCGAGATCTGCACAGATGCGGCTATCCGCTTTCGACAGATGGGTGTCAAGAAGCTGGAGGCAAATTGGCACAGCATTGGCACAGCTATGGCAGCTATGGGTTTTTGGATGTCTTTGGCCATCGCTTCATGCGTCGCTTCATGCGTCGCTTCATGCGTCGCTTCATGCGTCGCTTCACGTTCTTGCTGCAGTCTCTTTACTTTACCTTGTTTTGTCATGTTTTGTCGTACTTTCTCAGTTCCTGAGAGTGTGGTGACCTGGCCCGGTTTCGGCGGGTTTTGAACATTGACACTTTGCACACTTTGATTTGGGACGATACGATGATCATCGATGATCCGCTGATGTGAAGCATTGTGTGATCATTGCACCAGGCTCTTGTGTGCTACGGCATGGGAAGGCTCTTTTTGACCCGCTGCCCCTTGCTGAGACAAGCTACAATCCAAACCTGGTGTCGAGCGTTGATCACCATGATCACCATAACTATAACCTCATTATTTGAAGCCGCGAAAAAAGACTCAAGACGGTCAAAACACGTCAAAACACGTCAAAACACGTCAAGACACGTTAAATTTGTTCGAGAATGTCATGTCATGTCACATCAACTGAGGCATGCCACGGGAAGCTTCTGAGCTGGCGGAGGATGCTGTAATCGGGCTCAGGACGTTGCAGCCGCTGCAATCCATGTTGCAGGCGCCTAGTGCCCGGTGCAGCTTGGGAAATCTGTTTAGGAAGTAACGCCATTGACATGGGATTCAACTTTGTCTTGTTTGCCGAGAAGCCTGTTTTTCATTGTTTTACAACTTTTCTTTTGTTCGGTTTTCAAGCATTTTTTCTAGATTTCTTGAGTCTGAGATGGTGTTCGACAAAGGTTTGAAGCTTGATCTAGTTTCCACTAACTCCATCATTGGCAGGCTTACGCTGCAGATCTACTGGTGCAGGTGGGCATTTGCCGCTATTCCTCACGGTCAGCAACGACAAAAGAAAGGTACACATGAACTTTGCAACAAACACTTCCATTGTGGCTGCCGTTTATTTTCATCCAGTCAAAAAGTCCATGGTACTATATTTTGGATTCTTTTTTTTTGGGATGTCTTATTTTCCCCACGTGTCTCTAGTTGATTCTCCGTTGATTGAATCGTTGAAGCGTGTTGATTCCCACCATGGAATCACCGTTCCGCATGGGCTTCCCATGGGCTTCCCATGGGCTTCCCATGGGCTTCCCATGGGCTCATCGGCTCCAGGCCTTCATTTTGAAGGGTGACAGTCGCTCGGCACTGCGCGTGACCAAGGAGAGTTGGGATGCCCAGCGTCATGGAATTTGAAAGGTGAAGGAAGCAGAAAAAATGATGAAAAAAAGTGGAGGTTTAGATTCTAGAGTAACATCTCATGGGTTTGTTCAAATATGGAACCTTAGAATTTCTGACCTTTCTAAAGGTATGTTCTTTTGACTGGATTTCGCCAGAGAGGAGAACGAACATGTTTTTGGACACAGATTTTTTTCGGACCGCTGAAAATTCGCGCGGCTGAGATTTGGACCACTTCAAAGCCAGGGCCGCAAGGCGGGTTCAGCCGGTAGCTTGAATCTGGAGATTTGGATTTTGGATCCAAAAGATGGATGGGATAGATGGGCCTTTCAGACTCTTTCAGATTCTTTCAGACTCTTTCAGAATCCTCGGCATTTTCAGACTTTATCAAAGTGTATGCTTTTTTGTTTGGCGACCTGTGGACTCGACACTGGACACTGAAAATAGACACTGGAGAAGAGGCAAACTATCTAGAAAATGAATGCTTGGATGGAACTTTCACATGAATCAACTAAACAACATTGAATTCAGATGCATATAAGATAGCATAAACAATATAAACAGCACTTCCACCGTACTATCTGAGACTGCCCGGGTTTGATGCTTCTCTGCGCACCGCAGCCAGCAAGCACCAGTCTCCACGTCACCACGATGTGGCCGGGTCCATGGCAAGTAGCGCGAGTGGTGTGGCGTCGTGGCTGTGCGATACAGGCATTGGTGGAGCGTCGCGTGAAACCTATCGTGGAAGCTTGGAGTGTTGGACCTGAAGACTTTCTGCCTTTGGGCATTTTGCTTTGCTTCTTGATATGAAACAAAGTGAAATGACATGAAGAATCATGAAGATAAGATACATAAGTAAGTCATAAGTAAACATCTTTGGACGAGCTCTGCTGTGTCAAGGATAAAGAGACCGAGCTGCGAAAGAAAGCTACAGAGGTCGAAGCAGGGATCGCAGCCCTTCGAGCGAAGGAGGTGGATTGGCAGCGGCGGAAGAACGAAGCTGAGGACGGCACAACGATTTCGAGTTGTCCTCAGCTTGTCTTTGCGCTTGTCTTTGCGCTTCCGGAGATGTTGTGCCACCGGAAGTAAATGTGGGGTGGGATTGTGGATGCGTGATATTGTGTGATGCTCCTGTGGGATGAATATGCAGCATGCACTGCATGCACTGCATGCACCTTTTGGATCCTTTTGGCTTGATCTATCAACGTATCCACCAATATGTCCTGTTCAAGTGGCAAGGCAACAGCACAGACTGCAGGAGCTGGTGGCCTTTCAGCTGGCCAAGAAGGAGGAGAGCAGGCACCGAGCAACACTTATCATATCGTATCATAATCGAACCGGACTTCTCAGCGCTGACTTAATCTGACTTAACCTGAGTCAATCTAAGTTAATCTGAGTTGTTGGTTTTCTGCACCTTGTTGGGCACCCCTAGAGATGTTTCAGTCCTGAGGCTCAACATTTGTGATTTGCGCGATCGGAAGATTCGGGGCATCGAGACTCAAAAGGCCAAGATGTCCGACATCAAACAAAAGGCCCAAGACATTGGCGATGTGAGCATCTTGGATCATCTTGGATCAGTACTTGGTATATAGACGTGAAACTCACAAGATCGATTTGCCTTGGGATATTTTCAACATCATCAGTCACGCTGAGAAATCTTTTGCAGGGACAGTACTCATGCAATCGCTTCGGATTTTCTTTTTGACATCGCAAACATGGCATCACGGCAAGGTATTGATGATCGCCTGGCGCGTGTTCGTGAAAGTACGAGTTTGGAGCAATATTTGCATCCCGGCGTCACTTTCTCCAATTTGCCTTTTCTATGAAGAAAAGATAAGAAAAACATGAAAATCAAACAGAACACGACAAAAAACAAAGTATACTATACTGTACTTACTATATCTTACTATATCTTACTATATCTTACTATATCTTACTATACCACTTTGCTTTTCTTTGTCAAATGCTCTGCTTCCTGCCTGGTGCTGGAGCTGAGGCAGAGTTGCCCCAACGACGGCAGCGCCTTGCGCGAATATGCAGAGCTGCACCACGAGGATATTCGACTCTCAGACGAGATCAAGAGAATCAAATCCGGCATCGCCAAGTTTGAACAGGCGAAATCCGGGAACAATCCGGGAACAATCCGGGAACAGTCTACACAGCAAGAGGGCCACTGTAGCTAGAAGATGCAAAAGGAAACATTTTAAACATTTTCAAACATTTTCAAACATTTTCAAACCTTGATGTTTCAACTTGTTCAAAGTCGTCTCAACTTGTGGTTTCCACCGGTGCCCCGCGGTGCAGGTTGCTGAACAGCAAAAGGAACTGGCGGATGACGCCGCGCAAAAGCTGCAGAACTTGCAGGAGGAGTTGAATGGAAAGGACGAGGAACTGCAAACAGTGTCCTGGTTATCACTGGTGATGCAGTGATGTTTCGAACCTTTCGAAGGTTTTTCGAACTTTTCAGCTATTTTCAGATTGGGATTGCGGGTTGATGCATTTTGTCATAGTTTGTATGATTTTCTTTCTGTTTCGACCATGATTTGGTGCATCAATAGGGCTGATTTGGTGCACGATTTTTAAGCCATCAATAGGTTGGTAGATCTGGTGAGATGTTCACCTTGTTCACCTGGAGGTTTCAACATCTTTGGAAGAGCTGCAAAAGCAGCGGAAGGACAACGAACTCTATCAGGACATCCTGGCGGTTCCTGGCTAAGCTTGGTGGATTTAGTAGTTTTGCTTGCATCATTAGCATCTCTTTCAGGGATAAGAACAGTGGTTATGATATGGTATCATGTGCTATGAAAAAATATGATAAGATAAATTCATTATTTCTTCCAGATAACAGAGATACGTTGCCACCGTTGCCACCAAACACCAAGCGTTGAAGATGCCAGCATCAAATAAAACATGCGCAGCCAACGGCCGTGAAATTTTGACATTGACACTGTGACATCCCACGGCCAGGAATCTTTGGAACGCACTGTCAAGTGGGTACAGTGTGTGTATCCTGATGTGGAGATCTCCACAGAGATGCTGCCAGTGTTGAGGCTTCAAAGGCAAGAGAATCCTGGCGTACGGACAGACATTGGAAATATCAGATTAAAGTAATATAAATAAAATATTAAAATGATTAGAATAGAAATTCGAATGATACTGTAGCAGAAATTCGAATTGTCGAGATTTGGAGATGAAGTCCTCACGCCAATGCCTTCGGAAACAGCGGAGCTATGGATACAGTGGAGACTTAGTGGAGACTTAGTGGAGACTTAGGAGCATGAAAGCGGCATTATTTTCCTCGCACTCTGTGGAGCTGTTGCGCCTCAACTGCTCTGCTTGTGAACTGCGAGTACTTGCAGCACTTGCGCGTCCCGGTGGGCCGGATGTCTTGGAGCAATTGGTGGATGCAGGTGAGGAAGGGAAAGCATGCTGCAAACAGCCTTAATCTTTGACACACATGTCACATGTCTTGGAAAAACGTGGCAAAATGTGGCAAGCTGTGTTCTTTACGGTCATGTTAGTCACCTTCCTTCCATTTCTCATTTCTCGTCATTTCTCGTCATTTCTCGTGATTTCTCTGCCTTTTCGATCTTTTCGGAGGTGCTTCAGCCAAAGAGCTCAAAGACATGGGCTTCGAGTGCAGAGATTTGGTGGACTTCTTTGAGGTGACCGATTTGGTAAATGCCACATTTTCCAAGGTGCGGCTATGGCAGCTATGGGCTGACCATGTCCAGTCAAAAATAGTCAAAGGATATCAACAGAGATCCCAAACTGCTAGGAACAGCGTGTTTTTCATGTTTTTTTTCTCATCAGTTTCCCATGATTTCTTCCAGATTTTCAGTTGAAGTGAATGAAACAGGAAGAACTTGGGGCTTGTCCGAAGATTCGTGGCGACATTGGAGGTCTGAAGCAAGCTGGTGTCTTGACATCCACTCATCTCCAGGAGATCCATAATGGCCATAGTCAGATGAGTTTGTTGGGATGTAGAGGAAGTTAGCTTTGATAAATTTCACATAGTTTCACAAGTTCAAGAAAGTTTAAGAAGTTTCATGAATTCAAACAGTTTCAGTTTAGGATGTATACGGGAGCAACATAAAAATCGACTGTTTGATTACAAAACAGAATACGTAGGCAGATGGGATTCTTGGAGGTCTGAGCTGTCAGTGCCCCCGGCTTCAGATCGCAGAATATGCTGCACTCGAGACCAGTTAGTTGAAACATAGGTAAAACTGCATTTTTTTTTTGAACTCATATTGTTTCTATGTTGCACCAAACTCCACAAACCCCATAAACTCCAAACCTTCTTTTTTTCGAGCCTCGTGGCCTTGGCATCTGCGAGTCGGCTGGAAGTTGTTTGAGGTTACGAGGCCTCTGAACTCAAACCGATGGGTTTCCGGCTGGCAGATCTGACGGGCCACTACAATGCAGCTGAGATGCTGGGTGCTGGCTGGAGCAAGGACCGTGTTTTTGGAAAGGCGGCAAGTGGGATGGAATTGCATTGTCAGGAATGGCAAGGTGAAGCGTTAACGATGCAGACAGGTCAACTCATCTTGGAGTGTTTTCAGGAAGAGCTGTTGAAGCACTACCCGCTGATGGTGTTTGAGCTCAAGCAGCACGGAGACTTGAAAGCGCTAAGATGACTTAAAATCTGTGATTTCCGATTGAGAAGAACTCCGTTTGATTTCAGCACATAGGACAAATATCAGTGTTCCAACGAGCTGTTTCATTTCTTCCTTGAGTTGTGTTCTTATCCCTGTTGTTCGTTGTTATTTAACTTAATATTCATTTTCCATATTTTCCCAACGTCTCATGTCATGTTGAGACATGAGCTGACAGGGTACAAAGCCGTCGAGCTGAAAGAGATGGGCTTCTCGGTCAAGGAGTTGGCTGTGTCATACACTGCCCATGATTTGGTCAATGCCGAGTTCCCCAAGGAGATGCTGCTGGGATCAGCTTGGGAAATCTGCTGGGAAATGCTGGGTTGATTTGTTGATCTGTTGAACATCTTTGGCGTTGATCTGTTGTACACATGGAGAGGACGAGCTGCTTCACTACACTCAGATTGTACCTGAGCTCAAGCAGACCGGTACCTCAGACTGCAATTTCGAGAAATTCGCAACTCTTGACAGCGACAGCATGGTGCAGCAAATCCCAAATTTGGATCTGACAACCGAATCATGTTTCCATACTGTTTCCATATCCCAATCTATCTCAACTCTCAAATCATCCGACTCATCCGACTCATCCGACTCATCTCACATCATGAGATCTACCAGAAGTTCCCTCAGCCCCTCAGCCCCTCAGCCGAGCCTCAGCCCCTCGCCTGAGGTCTTTCAGCACGTGACCTCCGAAGGTTGGGCTTCACGGCCCAGGAGCTGGAAATCTTCACGCCACTGGAACTGGTCCGTGCAGGCCATGGCTGGACACGGGACAGGGGACCACCGGGCGCTGGGCAAGTTGCGCTAAATGACAAATGAGACCTAAAATGAGACCTAGAATCACTATGAATCACTATGAATCACTATGAATCACTAGAATCACTAGCATCTAGATGGATTGATATGATCTAGAAATCCTAAATCATCATAAATAATCTAAATATAATCTAAATATTTGGTCAAGATCTTGTGATTTTGGTGACGTTTTGAAGGTGCGCTGGTCGTGGTAACCCGCAGAGGTTTCTCCGAGGACGAGCTTGCCATGGCGGGTCAGCCACGACGACTCATTGAGGTGAGAAAATATGTTTCACAATAGGATGGACATAGCCTGGGAAATGCTTGGGACATGGGTTACCCTCTGGTTATGACTAACATAGCCATGGTGTAGATGGCCCATAGAAATAGATGGATTACCTATTAATAGCATGGTGATTTTCCATGGCTATGTTAAATAACCAGATGGTATATGACCATGGGTATATTATTTTTGTTATACGTCTTTGCTAAGTGTACTTCCCAGGAGTCATATTCCATAAAATTTCTTCTGTTTTGTTGATGTCAGTAGGGATGTTCACCATATTTTTTACATGAGTTATGTGGAAAACATACCTAAATACACCACTAAACTGGTGAATTCATCCTCCGATTTCCTGGAATGACAAAGATCTTGCTGCGAGGCTGCCTTTGCTGAAGCCTCGGGGGACCTCACAGACTTTAAAAAGGAAGAACTGAAGGCGTGAGAAAAAAACGAAAATCGAAAACAAAAAAAAAACTCTTTGAATATCACTAGACATGGATGGAAATGATATGTACAGAATGTACATATTAGTTACTAATATTGATATTGTATTAATAAGATTTAATAAGTAACCCCTATGTAACCTATGTATCAGATTTAATTCTGCAAATGACAGCCGGGCGTGCTAGGCCGCTGGCTTCACAGCGCGGCAGCTTTTTCCTGATTCCTTGGGGCCAACCGCGTGGTTTCGATATATGATGATCTGACAATGATGATCTGATGATTAATAAATTTAATGATTACCATCATATATGATCATCTATTCAAGATGATGGATTTCTGAGATGATCTGATGGTTTAATGATGTTGCGATGTACACGATGTAGAATGATGTAGACGATGTACCAAGAACAGGTGGATTCATGAAGCTATGAGAATCTAATGTGCAAATCAAATGTGCAGCTTGCAATGTGTAGTTCTTCCCAAAGAGTTGAAGAACGCAAGCTCTGTAATGACATGAAAATCATAGAATCAAATTGGCATATATATATACACACATATATATATATATAGCGAGATCGACACCTATTTAGCCAATTTTTGAGATGAAATCTACCCGCCAAGTTGTTCATCAGTTGGATTTTGGATGATCTGAAACTCTTCAAGCAGAACACCAGCAGATCGACCGCAGCTTTCTCAACTCTCTCATTTATTTTCCCTGCGGAAGCTCGTCTTGGGAGACACTCCAGATGTTGCCCATTCCATTGCATACCCTTTGGTAATCTCACCTGGCAATGGAAGATTGCCCATAGAAATACCATGAACGTAAATGTTTTTCCTATCAACGATGTTTTTTTGACATGAAAACAAACTTATAGACTTCTAGTTTTTTCCTACAAAATCATGTTTTTCTCCCAGTGAAAAATGTTTTTAGTGGGCTTTTAATGTTTCTTCCATTGCCGCGTTCGATTTTCAGAGGGTATCTGTGACTGAGCTTCCAAAAGGCCACAAGGCCATGTACATAGCACGCCTCAGCGTGCCTTGAAGGCGCGCCTTGCAGGTTTTGTTGGCCCTTTGCCATGGCCTATACAGAAGGAACATCGTTTAGGGTGAGCAAACATCAGCTGAATATTAGACCATATTTGTATATACATATGTATATATATACACACTCATAAATGATAAATAGATAAATCATCTTTCTCTCTCTCTATATTATATATATATATATGAAGAAATCATTTCGGCCATACTGGGCATAATTTATTGCCGAGTTTCACAAGCAACTCTGGCAAATTTAATAGGAGGAGTCACAATGTCTTGACTCTGACCACACCGTGACCACACCTTTGAAAACGTGGTGTCAGAGAACCTCAGATTCGTCGTGGCGATAAAGAAATTCCTCTCGCTTCGCCGAGGATTTCTGCAAAGTGTCCATCTGTGGATGGCTCTGTCCGGAAATGGGGTCCCAAAATTGCAAATGTTGGGTGGAACATGACCATCCTATCAACATAGACCCTTAGAAACCTTAGAACCATCATTTGAAAGAAGAAGTCGTTTTCTATAGTTCCATAGTTTTCCAACCCCCATATAGCAGGGTCTATGTTAGCTGGTCAGGCGCGAACAAACGCTGATGCCTGGAACCCAGCATTGCTCATATGGCTTGTTTCCATTGCCATCAGTACAGCAGCTACCACAGTATACCACAGTTCCAGCTGGTTTTCCACGAACCCTTGAGATTTTGTGTGTCTCTACGTCTCCAGTGTGTCTCCTGCCTGTCTGAGGCTTGCTGCAACTGGCGCGGTGCACAACTCCTGTGAAAATTTTGCTGAAGCGCAGAAAGTCTTGGAGGAGGCAAAGGGAAATGCCGGTTGAGTGACGCCTTCACAGGGTATCCTTCAATCCACACAGCACTCAGTTGCGATTTTGAACGACTTGAATTCGTTCAAGTAGGAGATAACCTGAAGGAAAAATGAAGAGTCTCAAGACAACTCTTTTGAAAAATCCATTCCAGGCCCAAACCTTGACTTCCGAACTTGGAGATCGCAGGCGAAGGGGACAGAGACATTTCAACAAGATCTAAGGGCTAGAAGAGATTCGCAAAAAATCTACAACAGTTGTTGATCAATACATACATGCATGCATACATGCATACATGCATACATTACATTACATTACATTACATTGCATTGCATTGCATTGCATTGCATTGCATGCATACATTACATTACATTACATTGCATTGCATTGCATTGCATTGCATTGCATTGCATTGCATTGCATTACATTACATTACATTACATTACATTACATTACATTACATTACATACATACATACATACATACATACATACATATGCCTTAAGCGCAATGCAAATAGGTAAATTTGTTGATCATTTGACGTTGTCCGCTGCTCTGAAATCAGGTTGGAGGGCTTGGTCTTGAGGGAACTGGCCTTTGCACAGCTTCAGAGGACTGGCACTCGGATTTCTCGGATTTCGTCAGGCTTTTGTGACCGTGGTGACCCATGGCCCAATGGGACCCAGCTTCGGGCGACAGGAACGCTTTGGACGAAGCCTTGGCTGCTTGTGGAGAGGTGGTGTTGCACAGCAACGCATGCAACGCACGTTTTAATTGTTATGCCGCTATGCCAACTTGCTCAAACTTCTCATTTTTGCGTTTTAAACATGTCTTAACTATTCTTAACTTACCATACTTACCTTTTCCCATATGTTTTCCATGTGTTTTCCGTGTGCTTCCTGAGTTTCATCAGGCGATGACTGCCTACCAGGGCGCTGGTGACCGCCTCGGGGAGGCCGAGTCGCAAACATCGATCGGTCATCAATCGTGACCCCACAGTGGTATGTATATTCCCATAAATATCATAAATCAGCCTGTCTGGAATATGTTTACTATGTTTAATGACTTCTCAATTGATCAAATTCATCAGATCATGAAAGTTGACACCAGACGACAGATGTCGACAGATGTCGACAGATGTCGACAGATGTTGATACATGGAACCGCTTCGATAACGTTTCATCTTTGGCTCAAGAGCTGCGTGGGGAGCAAACCTCAGCAAAGTCAAAATCGACTTCGGGAGCGAATCTGCAGAATGCCTTGCCTTGGTTTCAGCTTCTTCAAGGGCACCAAAGTGAACCATGTCATGGACGAAGAATCGATCTTCCGAGTGGTGCTTCAGAGCCCAGAAGCAGCGCCCTTTGGTATCATCATGGGAGGACATCCAGATGTCCAGGGGCTCGTCATTGTAGACGCGTCCAAATCCAAACCTGTCAGGGAGTGGAATGAAAAGCATCCCCATCTTACCATTGAAACTGGTCAAGCTGTGCTGGAAGTGAATGGTACCTCTGAGCCAGATGCCATGCTGGAACAGTTTCACGGCACGAAGTCTGTGGAACTCTTGATCACCACTGAACTTTGTCCCATGCAGCAGGCAGTGTTGCGGTCTTCCTTGGAGATACAACGGAGACAGCACATCGTGGAAAGTTTGCTACAGCCTGTGACTGTGGAGCCTGGTGTTGAGCCATGCTCCATCTGCCACGACGAAAGCGGTGAGGAAGTCAAACTGCCTTGTGGTCATCGATTTCACAAAGCATGCGTGCAGAAATGGTTGATCTATGGGCACCCCCGGTGTCCCTTGTGCAACCGTGCTGTGTCACACTGAGCCACACTTGGCCAAGGGGTTGGGTGTGGTTTGTGATGGTTCGTGGCACTGTGGCCTGCAAAGAATGCAGTGTGTTGTTGCCACGCTTTCCCTCGATCTGTGATCGAGATGCGCTCAGTTTGCGCTTTTCCCTCTGTGGATTACAGTTCCAAGAATGTGCATGTGTTTTCCTTTTTGCGGAGATAGTCATGATTTTGCATAGCCATGTGCTTTTCTTCCGCTTTTCCCTCTTTGGAAGGGCCACAAGAGTGTGCGGAGCACATGAGCACCAGCCGATATCTTTTGTCCGGCAGCCCCGCCATGCCGCCATTCGGTGCTGCAAGTGGGATTCAGCTGTTGATCCTGCAGACCCACCTCCCAAGATTAGACGCAACATGCTTGACGATCAGCTGAAGTCGTGAGTGGCATGTGCTTTCTCGATAATGTTGCATCATTTCATTACATTGCTATCTAAACTAAACATTCTAAACAGTTGATGCATCCAATATCGGAAATGATGGAAATGCAGGCTTCAGTACTGTCTTGCATGGTGCAAGTGAAGATCAAGAAGGAGGACTTCTACGCTGCATCGCAGGCAGGGACAAGCCACTTTCGCTGGCTATGAAGCTTGGAATGTGCCAACTTTGATATCTTCATTCGCAATGTCGTGTTCTTTGTTCATCTTTTTTTTTAAACCTGAGCTCGAAGCAAAGCCATTTCAAATGGGATGAACATGGGCTATGGCTATGATGGACTTGTTTGATCTTGTTTGTAGTTTTAACTTTGCCGATGGAGTTGTTTCCCCATCCCTCACCGGACCTCCGACTGCAGCTGCTCCCGGGACGTCTTGAGGCAGCCAACGAGCAGCGAGCCATCTTCCAGCAGTTGGGAGATCGTAGCCGAGAGGCAACCCGGAAGATGGCTCGCTGATTCACGTATTTTTCAAGATGGCTGTACAAAAATCAACTGAACCGAGTGAAAACGATACAACTTTGACATACTTTGACCATTTTCAAGACATTTTCAAGATGTGGTCAACATCGCATGGCATTTTCGAACGTGTCACGTTGCACTTTGCGTTTGGAGGCCACGTGCTTGCTGACAGCTGCAGGACGGGACATGTCCACTCTGTGCTGTGGAAGGTGCTGATTGAAACGTGCTGAGTCTTCGCAAAGCGCATCGAAATGTGAAACGTGTAGCGGCGTAGCGCAAGGCTGCCTCAGCAACGACAACAACTTGGACCAAGCACTTGCACTGGCTCTGACCTCAGAATTTAGGCATTTGAATTCATTTGATTTCTTTCGATTGTCGTTATTGTCGTTCTTCACTTGTGAAAGATCGTCTGTGTTGAGGCAGACGAGGCTTATGACATTTGCCGCGAGATTGAGGATCCAGCCGGAGAGGCCTTTGACTTTCAGCCTGATTCTTTTTGGCCAAAAGATGCCAAGAGGCAGAAGGACACCCTAAAAGAAACCAAGAAGAACTGAAGAACTTGGACACGATTGGTTTGACATGGTTTAACTTGACTCTCAGGTTCCGGCTCTCTGGCATACAATTCTCTGAACGTTTGCATTGGAAGGGAAATCCCATGTAGATCATGTAGGTTCCATGTCAGGACAGTTTACCTTTTCTGAGGTTATCTTGATACACACACACATATATACAGTATATACACACATGCACTTTTTGCATGTTTTTTTTGCTATGTCTTATGGATTCTTATGATATGTCTTGTGATAAGATATGAGTCATCAAAGGAAGTTTAGGGGGAGAAACTTCCGTGTTACGGACTTTTAGAATGTCAGGGAAAGAGTTAGTCAAAGAAAGAGTTAGTGAGGGAAAGAGTTAGTCAAACAAAGAGGTAGTCAAAGAAACAGTTAGTCAGGGAAAGAGTTAGTCAAAGAAAGAGTTAGTGAGGGAAAGAGTTAGCAAAGAAACAGTTAGTCAAGGAAACAGTTAGTCAGGGAAAGAGTTAGTTAAAGAAAGAGTTAGTCAAAGAAAGAATTAGTCAAAGAAACAGTTAGTCAGGGAAAGAGTTAGTCAAAGAAAGAGTTAGTGAGGGAAAGAGTTAGTCAAAGAAAGAGTTAGTCAGGATATATGAGGTAGTCAAAGAAAGAGTTAGTGAGGGAAAGAGTTAGTCAAAGAAATAGTTAGTGAGGGAAAGAGTTAGTCAAAGAAAGAGTTAGTGAGGGAAAGAGTTAGTCAAAGAAAGAGTTAGTGAGGGAAAGAGTTAGTCAAAGAAAGAGTTAGCAAAGAAACAGTTAGTCAGGGAAAGAGTTAGTCAAAGAAAGAGTTAGTGAGGGAAAGAGTTAGTCACAGAAAGAGTTAGCAAAGAAACAGTTCGTCAGGGAAAGAGTTAGTCAAAGAAAGAGTTAGTGAGGGAAAGAGTTAGTCAAAGAAAGAGTTAGTCAAAGAAACAGTTAGTCAGGGAAAGAGTTAGTCAAAGAAAGAGTTAGTGAGGGAAAGAGTTAGTCAAAGAAAGAGTTACTGAGGGAAAGAGTTAGTGAAAGAAAGAGTTAGTCAAACAAAGAGTTAGTCAAAGAAACAGTTAGTCAGGGAAAGAGTTAGTCAAAGAAAGAGTTAAAACTCTAGGATCGTTCCCTCACTGTAAATGGCATTGCAAGTGGTGCTGGTGGATGAGTTGCCGATGGAGTTTTGAAGGAAGTCTCGCACGAAATGCGTTTTTGAGAGATAGCAGCTGCACGAAACCATGTGTTTTTCCGGACAAAGTGCGTCCCCGAACCTCGATGATCTACCTCTGCGGTGCGACGGTTGCGAGACGGTCTCGTGTGTGGTCGGATCATGCTCGGATCATTCTCGGATCGGTTCCGCATTGTAAATGGGGTGTCACCTGTGTTTCGTGCATTTGTGGTCGACAGAATTCCATTGTGATTTGCAACTGTAGGATTGTTCCCTTATTGTAAATGGGGTTGCAAGTGGTGCTGGTGGATGAGTTGCTGATGGAATTCCATTGTGATTTGCAACTCTAGGATCGTTCCCTCACTGTAAATGG